AGTTTAAAACTCATATCTGCGTATAATTTCATGATATCATTGTTAGTATGAAATAGACATGACTGAATTCAGTTTTAAAGATGCATTGCAAAAATAATTTATATAAATTAAAAACAGGAGTGGACCAAGGATAGACCCTTGGGTACTCCACATAAAACATTTAATACTCCAGATTGTATATCACACACATATTGTTTTTTATTGGTAAGATAACTTTTAATCCAATTGTAAGTTTTATTAATTATACCATAGTGCTTTAGTTTCCTAAAAGGACGGAGTGATCAATTGTATCGAAAACTTTTAATAAGTCTATAAAAACTCCTCAAGGAAATTTATTTTGTTCAAAGCCATCAGTTATTTGATTAACTAATTCAATGATTGCATGCTCTGTTGAAAAGTTTTTTTTAAATCCAAACTGGTTTGGGTAAAATAGTTTGTTTTTAGTGAAGTAATTATAGATTCTATTATAAATTACACGTTTGAAGAGTTTTGAAAATACAGAGAGTAATGATATAGGTCTATAGTTGGTAATATCCGAATGTTCATTACATTTAAATATAAGAATTACTTTTGCTAATTTAAGGGCATCAGCAAAAATCTCAGATCTTATTGAGAGCTTAAGTAGGGTGAAATTGGAACAGCGCCTTAATTGGAACATTTGCATTAATTTTTGAAAAAAAATGAATTATGAATATATATTGTATTTTTTTAGTAAAAGACATTATTTTCTACGTTTTGACACATTTTAAAAGTTATTCCTCAAAAAAAGCGTTTGCACCATTGATTTAAAGTGTTCACACTATATTGATTGCGCTCGGTAAACTATGGTGCTATAGGTTATACAGCTTTTTTTTTTTAATTCTATGGGATTTAAAATTCAAAATAACTATATAATCTTACCTTATAAGTTGCTGCAAGCATGTTGTTGTAGTGATATAACAAAATAGTCGAAAGTTTCCTTGATTGGAACATTAAAGTTTTCCTTACCTAATCTGTGATAAAATCAAAGGGTTGTAAAAATAGTTCAAGTGCAATTAAAAAAAAACTTAGTAACAACCATAAACTTTATAAATAATACTTTATTTAGTGATTTTTAATCAATAAACTAAGAAAACGTCATAATGGTTGAAGTTGTATGCAACTTTTTGTTTGTAGAATTTAAATTTGTTAGGCTAATACTAATCCTATAATAAGTTTTGAACTAACTGTTTGGATTTTTACTGTAACCATGAAAATCATTTTTTACAAATTTTAAAGTAGGAATGTCTGTTTGTATTAATCAAATCATAAATGTTTTCATAGTTAAGCCATCTTTGGGTAATAAATATTTATTTCTTAAGTGTTCCAATTAAGGCAACTCTCCGCTATATGGATCAGACGTCTGCTTAGACTAGTTTTATTAAAGATAACTAAATCACTAGTTATTTTTTAAAGAAGAAAGGGCTTCTTTTTTTTTAAAAGTAGAAAAGGCTTCTTCAAAATTTTTATAGTTAAATTCTTTATCGTACATGATGGCGTTGTTTGAGGGTTTTAGGTAGTTTTTAAATGAATTAGATGTTGGACTTATTTTATTAGCAAGATTTGGATCAATATTTATAAAATATTTTTTAAATTCTTTGAATATCTGTTTTTTACAGAATATGTCTGTATTGTTTATAGATGAATTTATAACATCATTTAAGACTTATTTATGACATCAAGCTTATTTTTAGTTAGAGGAGAAACAATATTCATACTGATCAGAGCTATTTATTACAACTGCTTCCAACTCTAAAAAACGTTCAAGCATATAAATAGTACTGCTTCATCTTGTCCTTGAGTCATAAATCAAAGCTTTTTCTTTTCAAAATTTTTTAATTATATTTGGTCGGTGTTCATCGTCATTGCTGACTGGTAATATACGAAATTTTTTAACCAATTTTCTTATTTTTGCCCAGTTTTTTAATATTTAAGTATCAATAATGGAATAGAATCTTCATTAACTGCATGAGCAGTTTGAATATTATTACTAACTTCAGTCCCATCTTCATCATCACTGTAATCTTGATCATAATCTAGAGCTTCCATATCACCACCAACAGGGTTATTATCAGAACCATGTTAATCAACTTTGTATTTTGTAAAGAGCACATCAATCACACATAGATTAATAGCGTGGCTTTATAAAATATTTGATGTTCAGGTTTAGTGTCATAACAAATTTTTTTCATTAGGCTCGGTCCATCAGTAGCAGAAGCTACAATGTCTTTGTGCAAATTTAAATCAAATGAATTAAGCTTAGACAACCACGACACTTTAATAAGTAACTGCCTCTTTTTATTGACACAATGTATGTATGTAGTATATACAAACATTTTTCTAAAGTCAAGTTTATTCTCTAAACAAGAACTAGACTCTTTTGCTATCAATATCAAACATATCTATAATTTTTTCGATCAAACCTTTTTTGTTACAGTTTATTTTGTCTCTGTGTATGCTAAGCATGCATCAGACAGAGGTCATTTGACATTGCTGATCTAAGCCATACTTTTTCACCGCGCAATGTGCTAAACGATCACTCCACCATACATGTTGTTGCCAATTATGTCAAAAAAGCTAGTATAACATACCTGACACATGGATAAAATTGGTAATAATAAGGTAATAAATTGATAAATTCTTGGCAACTATTTTACTCTCTCATGTTTTAAAAACTAGACCAACTTAAGGCTTCAGTCTCAAAAATATTGTAATCTTTATTATTCAAAAAAATTTTATCTTTAAACTTTTGACAATTCAATTTGCACATATCAGACGGATGAACAAATACTTTATTAAATTGTGCACTATGGGCTTTCAAAATTGACTTTAATGAGCTAGTTAGAGAAATCCAAATTATGGATTATAAGTTGTTTGTCTGAAGAACTTTTCAAAACTTATGTTTTCCGGATTACTTCAATGATTTTAGTTTTTTACAATGTCATGGAATTTTCAGTTCAATATTTATCTTCTGTGCCAGTTTTACTTTTTTCTCAAAAATTTAGATAAGATTATTAAGTTATTCTGCATTTGATGTGATGTGTAACGTGCATTTTTATAATGATTTTCAATTCCAGAAATGTTGACTTAAAATTTGTAGGACGGATGAGCCTGGTATGGATTAGTTAGCAAACGATACTTAAGATCAATAGGAATTTTATGACGATTGTAATTTGAATTTATTTTTTAACTTGCTACAAAGTATGGTTGAAGAAAAGTTTTAAAAAACTGAAAAGGTTTTAACAAAATAATTTTTTTTTGTTGATCTTTTTAACAAGTAATAACTACTTGTTAAAAAGAACTCAATTATTAAGTTCTTTCCAAAAACATAGAAAAACAACACTAAAAGATTATATTATACTTTTACCAAAATTGTACCGCCATGGCACCAGCTGATTTAGTGTGGTTTACTTGGCAGAAATGATTAACTTTCCACTGCTCATATTTAAATTTCCCTTTTTTTCCAAACCAAATTTGACAATCTTTACAAAACTTAAATAATATAACAGTATCCAATACCTTGTTGTTGTCGTGAGACGTTGCCACCACTACACCGTTCAAAGAGGATTACCCTTTCCGCTGCCAGGTACCATCTATGGAAATACCGCAATCAATAACATCATTCATATTAGAGTCAGGTTTCAGTATTCTCCTAACTTCCTTAGCAGCATTTTTCATACTTTGCTCAGCAACTGATTTATAAGCATCATAAAGTTTACTATTAATACAGTCAAAACTAGGTTGTGATAGAGGTGGTGGCATGTTCATTATGGAGGTAAAAGTTAACATTGCATCTCTCTCTCTTCCAATCTGTCTGAATGCCATAACACGCCGTACATTAATTTCACTAGTATCTATACCAGGTTTATTATTTTTAATAACAGGAAAAGAAAAAAATGTATCTTTAAAAGCACAACCATTACAAGAAATTTAAAAAAAGAAAATCCTAAACGTCTTGAATGATCATGCAACATGGAAAGCTTTGTACCACATATATTACAATTAGCATACTTTTCAAAACAACTATTCATTTCATCATCATCAAATAATGTTTTTTCATCATCATTAAATAATGTTTTTTTCAAGATTATTTTTCAGCTTTTTACTACTTGTAGTAACTTGTTTCTGAGTTTGTATCGAATTGCTTATTGGTGTTATTGGAATTATTATGCTGATTGCTATTAAACTTTCTTTTCCTTGTTCTTATTTTTTTTCCTTTTTTGTTTGTTTGCCATAATATACTTGTCAACCTTTAACTGTAATAGGTTAGATACAAAAATTAAAAATTAAAAGCACTATTTCATCTTAATTCAAAAAGACAACAAAGCAATGTTAAACCATTAATAATAGTAATGTGACTTAGATTTATGACAATTAGACCAATATAAACTTAAAACATTAAACAAAGAATAGTTACAGGCTTGGTATATTTAGCTTTTAGGGACTAACTAAAAAGAAAAAACGGTTGCTATGGACGTTGCTATGTGATTAAAAATACGTTAAGGTGTTTGAGAAGAATATTCTTGATATTCTAAAATTATTTTGGAAAAAATATTTTTGCTATTGAATTCTACAAGGTTCAATTGTCTAAATAACATTTTTACAAATTTTTCATTTTTTTTTATTTTTCACCAAAATAATGGCTGGGTACCACCCATATGATATTTTCCAGCTTGTCTATCTAATCATATTCATAAGAAATACACTTGAAATTCTATTTTTTCATAGATAATTTTAATGACAATAATTTTAATGACAATAATTTTAATGACAATAATTTTAATGACAATAATTTTAATGACAATAATTTTAATGACAATAATTTTAATGACAATAATTTTAATGACAATAATTTTAATGACAATAATTTTAATGACAATAATTTTAATGACAATAATTTTAATGACAATAATTTTAATGACAATAATTATCGTAACGCGCATGTAAGAACATGGTAACATGTAGATAGCCTTGTAAGGCTTGTGTTACATAAGAATGTTTTTTTCAAAAGTTTTTTTTGCTAAGTTACAGCTTAAACTTTCATATATATTATATAAATGTTGGCTCCTCTCTACAGAGTAACTCGCTTGGAATTGAGTAAACCGATCTTGTATATTCAAGGAAGATATTTCAGTTTGACTTTTTCAAACAACCAGTTCAAATCTAATCGGGAACAGAGAAAACATGAACAACATATTCTTTCACAAATATTAAGAGTCGATCATGCAGGTGAAATGGGTGCAGATAGGATTTATGCTGGTCAGATGGCCGTTTTAAAAGATTCAGAATACGGATCGGTTATCAATGTGAGCACTAAATATTTTTTTCTAATATTTTAACATTTAGATTTATTTTAGAGAACTGGATTTTAACTGACTTTTTTTTACACTATGAAAAAACCATTCCAAAACATGAAAAATATATTAATTTTTCATTTATTTATCTATTTTAAACTAGTTTGAAGCTGTAAATTTTTACCTGATCTGACCCAATCTGGTGAAAAGAACTAAGGCTGCGTTTTTTACTTTCTAAAAATTTTAAATAGTAAAATAAAATAAAATGGAAAAATTGCATAAATTAATCAATAGCTTTTTAATTTGTTTTTTTCTGAACAAGAAGCTTTTGATTTTGTGCTTCGAAAGATTCATAAGAAAAAAAATTTTCCTAGAGTTAAAAGGAACTTTATAAAAATTTAAGGAATGTTTTCTCTTTTAAAAAGACTCATAACAAAGTGTTCAGAACTGATAGGGCTTTAAAAGCAAATTTTTGGAGTTTTAAACAAGATACAATTCAGTAACAATGTCAGTATTTAGAAGCCACAATTTAATTCTTTGTTTCTTTTTTTACATTTTGCAATTAGATTTAGAGAAGCTCATAATTTTAAAATATATTTTTAGAACTTTTTTATAAATTCTTTGTTACCAATTTTTTGTTTCTTTCTTTCTCAACGCAGTTACCTTGCTTTTCAAGGTTTGTTTTTTAAAGTTTATTGAGTTAAGAGAGAAATAACTTTAATTAAAAAAAAACAAGTAGCTCTCTTGACTATAAGCACTCAGTCTTTTAAGGTTTAAGTCTATTTTTTTTTAGTTAAAATTAGAAAATTATTTACAAATTTAAATTATTTACAAATTTATCCACATTGTCAACAGCTGTTCTATAAATTCATCAACCATCTACTTGTCAAATTAATTATCCAAAAAATTTTATTCATATCTAAATTAGATATTTCAAATCGAAAAAATAAATAATATATTGCGGCATTTTTTTCCTAGAAAATGTGGATCCAAGAGAAAGAGCACCTTAAAAAGTTTAATGAGTTACTTCCAAAATATAAAATACGACCATCTGCACTACTACCTTTATGGAATGTTGCTGGATTTGTTTTAGGTGAATCAAGTTATTTATTTTTTTATTATTATTTTTGTTGTTACTATCATTATTCTTATTAATTATTGTAATCTTTCCATTTTACTCAAGTTTGTTGTATATATTCATATAGTAATTTATAGTGTTAATCTATTAAAGTTGTTAATATTTTATTTAATTTTTTTTTATATATAAACCAGCAATATAAATACTTATCTGAAGTTTCGTAGAAATGGAAAATTAATATTTGTTCATTTAGGTGCTGGCACTGCTTTAATGGGAAAAGAAGCTGCAATGGCTTGTACTATAGCTGTTGAAGAAGTCATTGGTCAACATTACGACAGGTTTAAAGAAAAGATTTAAATATTCTTGGCTTTCTTATTAAAATGAATAATAAATTGACAGTTTAAATTTCATTTATATGTTTTTTTCAGCCAATTAAATGTAGTAGTAATTACTTTTTTTTTTCTTTACTTTTTTTATTTTTTTTTTTAGCCAATTAAGAGAACTTCTCACTGAAAATCCTGAAAGATATAAAGAGCTTCTTGAGGTTGTTTTAATATGTTGATCCTTCAAATTGAATTTAATTTTATTTTGATATGTCGAATATGACTTTTTATTGGTTGTTGTTAGTTTCCTTATTGTTTATTTCTATATTTTATTTAATAAGTAATTTGCTTTTTTTTCTGTTTCGTTTTTATCTTTTGATATTTTAATAGAGAACAAAGAAAGTTTAAAACATAAGTAACATTGTGTTTTTTTATCAGGTTCTGCAAAAGTTTCGAGATGATGAACTTGAACACATGGAAACTGGTTATCATTATGATGGAGAAAAGGTTTCTATAGTTTTATATAAATTTCATCTTTTCATTTATATAAGTTTTTTGCGTATATAAGTTTTATCTTTTTATTTATATAAGTTTCATCTCTTCACTTCACTTTAATTGTAAAGTTGTGGTTGAGTTTAAAATGTTTATAAGAGCAGATGTTTGTAAAAAAAGTGGCTGCAATCAAACTTTTTAATGTTTATAGAAGCGATGAATAAGGATTTCTGTTAAACATTACTGCAATTGTGGATATGGAATATGAGAACCCTTACACATAATTTTAATATACTGATGCATAACCGATACTTTAACTTATTACTCTCTCCATCATGTTTTAAAGTTTAAAAAACTATTGGTTTAATTTGCTTATTGAAAATGGCCATACACTATTACCCTTGAAAGTTTAGTAATTGGTTTTTTTATTTAAACAGTAGATATTTCTGAAATCTTTTTAAATTTTGGTTCTTTTAAGACCCAGAATTTTAGTTTTGAGAAACTTTTTTTTTTTTGAGGAAGCAGTTGGTGCTTTTTAGGAGTTCACCACCACCACCCTCATTTTATTTGTAAAATCGCCTCTACATGTAATAAAGGGTTATGGTGCGTAACCTTTTATTAAACCCTATGAACTTTTAGTTACTTTTTAACTAAAGTTCGCCAACTTTTTATAAAGGAAACTGGAGATACCAAGGAGCCATAATCCTACTATGCATACATAGATAATTGATAAACGTTTTAGCGTAGACTTGAAATGAAAATTCTAAAACTCTAAAAATGATAATTAAACATAATTAAATTAATTTTTATAATATTTTTTCAATAATAAGTTTACTTTTTTATTATAATTTTATGATAATTTAGTTTTAAAATTTTCATTTTTTTTTATTCCTCAATATTTTTACTTATCACAACTGTTTTTGTAAAATTTAATTTTTAGTTGTCGATTAATAATTTGTAATTTGTATTTTTTTTTATTTATGTATTTGCAATGGGCTTTTATTCTTTTTATTTTTATTTGTTTTTAGGCTCCGTTTTATCAAGTCCTAAAGTCTGTAATACAGTTTGGTTGCCACGGTGCAATATGGCTGACAAAAAAAGTCTGACATTCGGGAGAATAGCCTTCGTTAGTAAATTGCTTTTTTATTCTAACAAATGTTAGAACAAATCTTTGGTAATTTTTTTGGTAAGAAAAACACAAGCGAAAACAAAAAAAATTTTATTTTGAATAAAATTTAAAAAGCGATAGCAAAGAATCTAATGTCGCTGCAAAGAAACATAATACTGACAAGTCAAACAAGTCTTGCAAAAAAATTTATACATACCTTTTTTAACTTATTAATGTTTATTTCGATTGAAATTTAATATTTTTAATTATGTGCCTAAATATAAGAATTCATTAAAGTGTGTCGTGGTTGTTTTTTTCTTCTGGGTTAAATACCTTCAAAGTGTTGTAATATTGCTGGGGTGAGAACTAGGGATGTACCGAAGCTTCGGCTTCGGCTTCGGCAATTTTGCCGAAGCTTCGGTTCGGCCGAAGCCAGGTCAATTTTTTGCCGAATCTTTGGCTTCGGCAAAAAAATTTAAGTAATTAAAGTTATAAGCTACTGTTGTACAAGTTATAAAAATATGCTAATTGCCAGTGTCTAATTAAGTTGTAAATTCAGGACTACAGAGTTAAAGTTAGAGTCTATACCATATACTTAGTATTGTTTACTCCCAAATGTCTTGTTATGGAGGGGATGATAATAAATAAGTAGAAATATTTTGAATATAATAGTAAAATTAAGGAAGGTCCTCAAACACTTTGAAGGCTTCCAAGTGTGACTTAAATGAACTGAATCAGCATTTTTATGCAGAATAAAAATCTTATAATTTAAAACAAATTAAAACTTTTTAAAAATAAAATGGAAAAAAAAACTTAATTTGTATTATGTAACGAATTTATATTAATTTTTGTGTGGGATTACCGCAAATAGAACAAAAATTGGTTTCAACATTTGACCTATAAACCTTAGTAATCTCACTTTAAAGAAGATTAAAGATACGTTGCTACTATTTTAAATTCTGTGTATGTTTAATTTTTTCAAATTTTATTTAACCATAATAATAAAAATTTACAAATTTTCATCGTAAGATTACAGAAATTGGTTAGGTGTCACTTATAAAGTTACAAACTAGTCAATGGAGTGACACATAAAAAACATAAAGTTCTCAACAACAAAAAAGGAAGAAAAGCAAATGAAATATAAATGAGGAGAATAAAAAAAGAAAAAAAAAGTCAACCAAAACTATATAAATTAAAAGAAAAAGAAAAACAATGATAATAATTATCCTTGCTCTTTTATTAATATTATGAATACTTCTAAATTGAATTTATATATTAAACATATAAACTTATATTCTGGTTTCTTCTTATGATATGAAGACTTTTAAATTTTATTTAAAATAAATTAAAGGTTAAAGCTTTGATTACTTTGAGCTCTTATATTTATCATCAAAATTTATTTAAATTAAATAAACAATTTAAATCAAATAAATATCAGCCTGCTCAGTCCCTGTTTATTTATAAATATAAAATAAATAATAATATAATTATAAATGAAAAATTTATAAAGTATTCTATTTATCGTTTTATTTAAAGCTCACTCTACTGAGTTGTTAGATTACTATAGAAGTTTTTGTAACAGATAGTTAATATTTGATTTCAGATACTGATGCAGATTTATCCATTACAGAGACAGAAGAAGAATGAATACTATAATTTCAGAGTGTAAAAGATTAATAGAAGCTTAAAAAAATGTTATGTAGTGTAAAATTAAAAATAATAAAAAAAAAAAAAAAAAAACAACTTAAAAGTGTGTAAAAAAGAAGTTAGAGAGAATTCTATCAATTGTACTTTTTTTTAGCAGCAGGTTCACAACAGTTGTAGTGGAATACAAAATGGTCTTAACTTGGGGTTTTTTTAGTTTAGAAATTGTTCGTTTAATGAATACAGAGAAGCAAAAAAAAGATATTGAAATAAATAGCAATAAAAAGATAAAGTGTGTTTGTAAGATTTTTTATGTTGTAGATACAACTAGATCAGCTAAGAGTGTTTATTTAGAGAAAGAGTGTTCAAGTGTAAAAGATTAATTTACTTTAGTAATATTTAGAGATTTTTATCCACTCTTAACAAAAGGTGCATTAAAAATAAAAATAAAATATACAGCACATGAAAAGATGCGTAACAGTAATTTATGGGGAATAAAATTTGAGGATGTTCAGCTAGCACACTATAATTAGATAGAGCAAACAAGATGATTAAATAGAGGATTAAAAATTAGATGATTAGATAGAGAATTAAAGAGAAAAGATGTTTACATAGAAGAACAGTATGGCTATAAAAGATCAAAAAATAGCAATGATTTTGGAAAAATATTGAGAATAGTTGGAAATATATGTGAGTTACTGATATTGTGCTCTATATAACATTAATATGGTTTGTACACAGAAAAAGTAAAACTAGAAGTAGAAAAATTTGGGGAGAATGTTTCAAAAAAGCTTAAGTTTAAAAAAAAAAGACTAGGTGCAGTGAAGTATCAGAAACGACATAATGAGAAACTTTCAAACAGGGGCGCTGATAGCTTTTGCCCTGCCTGGGGCAGCAACCCTGACTTGTGTCCTCATTTTTATACATTTTTTCTATATTATTAGTCAAGGATCTTAGTTTTGGAACCTTTTTTGTTTTACACCCCTGCTGATTTGAATGCTGATTAAATATTAAGCATATATAGTGCCGAAGCTTCGGCTTCGGCCGAAGCTTCGGCTTCGGCAAAGTGGCTTCGGCCGAAGCTTCGGCTTCGGCAAAATTTTAGCTTCGGTACATCCCTAGTGAGAACTAAGTAAAATTACGTCATTTTAAAAGTCTTTTCACCATATCCTCGCAGTGCGCAGACATTTGTAATTAAGTCTGTTTAATAAGGCTGCTTGTGATGAAAGTTGGGCACTTTCAAGCAAACACACCAAATGTTTCTATTGTTTTTCGGTTGAAGAGGCCACAGTTCAAATTAATAACCTACTTCAAAGTCGGTGTCTTTCAGCAAATAAAAAGTTCAACAAAGCCAAATTAACTTGTTTGCGACTTGCTACACCTATGTCAAATGTTGGCACAAATGAACTTAATTGTCGTTCAACTATTGAATAGCTTGAAAGAATCGTGAAAAAAGATTCTAATCAATTAACGAACGCATCGATGCCTTCTTTAAGAGGAGCATTTGCTCTGCCTTTGCAGCTAATTGGTTCTGCTGCGTTCCCTGTCCGTACATTTATCTTGACAGTCTCATTATCTGAAGAAGTATTTAACATATGTAAATTGTAAATTCTTTTTCTGTGTCATCCATCTCTGGGTATTTTATGAATGTCGTATTATCTGCCGGAAAACCATTCCTGATAGAATTGGGTCCACCTTTTCCTTTTGCACTACCTCTCTTTAATTCTTTCTCAGAAGCAGTTGCTGAATCATAAGAAGAAATCACCTTTTATTTGCATAATCCTTTGTTTTATAAATATAAGGTAAAGAAAACTTGCGATAAACCTCAGCAACTCTCTGTTCCATCATCTGTTGGTAGTAATTTGACGTCTAATCAAATTTTTAGAAACATTTCTAAAAAGTTTTTAGAAACATTTCTAAAAAGTTGCCTGAAAGTTCTAAAAGGGTGCGTGAAAGCGTTGAAAAAAAAAAAAAAAATTGTTTTCATTCTGTTCTCGCAATTTGAAAAGCAAAATTGTGTCGTTTGAATGATAAGACAACGGCTTCGGTGGCAATTCTTCGCAAATGAACTCATCGAGCCTGAATGCCTTAAAGAAACTTTGACACCCGAGCATTGATACTAATTTAATATCGTCTCATTTAACATTACCTGCATTGATTTAAGTAATTAGTAATATTTGCAAAATGGCCTTTTTGGCACGGAACTGTAATGTTTTTAAGGAGAAAATAGAAGAGACGTGTAGTATTAGATGCGATGGGTGTCTTACTTTCATTTTCAGGGTTTAGTAATTAAACCTAAAAAAAACTATTTTATGTAATCATTGTACCAGAAATAGTTGTAATTTTACGAAAAACAAAACTATTTCTAGCAAATACAACTAAAAATACAATTGCAGGGGAGGGCTTTTGCCCAACTCCGCTCCTATTCTCCCTCCCCCCCTCCTGCTCCTCCCTATCTGTTCCTCTACCAGTGTTCATATAACCAATATAATTTGTGCCGCAACTTATAAATTCAGTAAAACAGTTTTTGGATTTGTTGGTTTTTAAAGAATGCTGAAAATTCCACACATTTTGTATTTGATTATGGCATCTGAGTTAAAAAAAATTATATATACTTTATATTCTATATTAAAATTTTTTCTCAAATCCAAATTTAAAGTAACGTGGTACTTTTCAAGCCACAAACTAATCAGGTCGGACAAATATCCTCAGAGGTTATTTATCCGTCTGGTTAAACCTTAGGTTATTAAAAACTTTAGACATGGTCTTAGCAAAATAATTCTTATCTTAAAGTAAAGCCAAAATAAAACGTTTGCGCATGATGTCAATTTGTGGCAAAAACTTTTTTTGACGTAAGTTTCCTCATGCATTTACATTATATTTTCTGTTTATCTTTAACTATGGTGCATTCTTGTAGTTCATATAACTTTTACGTAAGATATAAAACTAATACAAATATAAAACTGGTGCAGGTATAACATTTAATAGATAAGAGTTTGTTTTAAATAATAAATAATTCATCATGAATGCTATGTTACATAGAAATTAAAAATTATTGTTAATAATATTTTGACAGTATTATTAATTTTATTTAGTTATTATTAATAATATAATATAAATTAAATGCTGTATTCTTGTTTTACCAAGAAAAACGTGTCTAACGACAGTAGGTGTTCGACTTTAACAGCCGTTTTTCAAAGCGTTTTAGTTTGTTTTTAAAATCATTACAGAATTTGCATTAATAACATCTTGATCTAAGATATTTTAAGTTTCTACAACACAGTTGGTGAAAAAATTATGCCTAGAAAGTGAGTTTACATATTGTCTTCCTAATATCTGATTATGCCCTCTTGTAGTATTAGTTATTCTTTCAGGTTCGTTATGCCAGTTTATTTTATCTATACTGTTTTGAAATCTAAACTTCTGAATTAGATCACCTCGCAAACTTCTATCAACTAATTTTGAAAGTTCCATATTTTGTAGCCTCTGTTCATAATTAATACCTTTTGGGAAATAAATTTTAGTTGCTCGTTTTTGGACTCTTTCTATACGATTAATATCTTTAGCGAAGTATGGGTTCCATATTTGAAATGCATACTCTAAGTGAGGTTGCACAACTTATATGTATAAAAGTTTCATAGTATTTTTGTCGATATAGTTGAACGCGTGTTTTATTATCCACAACTTACTTTTAGCTTTGTTAACAGTAGACTCAATATGATGTTACCTTTTTAAATCATTTGAAATATATACACCTAAGTCTCGTTCTAACGATGTCTCTTTAATATTTTTTCTAAAGGTTCCTAGTTCTTCAGTATTGCACTTCAGTTTGTATTTATTTTTTTGGTTGTCATGACCTATGTGCATTATCTTGGATTTATCACTATTAAAGCTTATGAGCCATTTAGTCGACTATTCGAAGAGATAATCTAAGTCAATTTGAAGGGATCTATTATGCGAATTTTTATCAATTTTATTTGTTTTTGCTATCACTTTTGTGTGATCTAATTTTGTGTGGTTTAATTGTTATTTAAGCCCTGTGTTAGATCACTGATAAAAGTTGCAAGAAGTAAAGGACCAAGAACTGATCCTTGCGGTACTCCACTTTTTACAGTTTCCCATTCTGATACAAATCTCCATGGAACTACTCTTTGTTTTCTGTTATTCAAAAACGATACTCACCAATTATGTATTAACGAATTTATACCGATTGACTCCAATTTAAGAATTAATCTTATATGTGGAACCAAATAAAAAGCTTTTGCAAAATCTGAATAGGCAATATCCTTTTTCTCTACGATCAGTAAGCATATCTAAGGTTTCTAGCAGGTTTGTAATGCAGCTTTTTGTTTTTATAAAACTATGTTGGTCTTTGGTTATTAAATTGTTATCAACAAGATGTTTTATTATTGTATCTCTGACAACACTTTCCATCAACTTGCATACTATCCAGGTTAAAGAGATTAGCCTGTAGTTGTCAGCCTTTAAGCGATCTCTTTTTTTAAACAATGGTGTAATGTTTGCTTCAAGCCAAAGTTCTGGTTGTATTCCCGATTCTGGCGATCGGTTGAAAATAATGCATAACGGTTTGCTAAGACTTTCTGCACAATTATTTAGGACTAATGGGTGAACTTTGTTACTTCTGGAAATTTGTTTACATTAAGTTTAGATAATCTGTTTATATATCAGTTTCGTTGAACAAAGGAATAGGACAAATTGAACTTGCTACACTTTCTCATAATGGAATAACGTTAAGATTTTCATCTGTAAATACGGAACAGAAGAACCTGTTTAAATAGTTAGCGATAAACTGTATATAATTAGATAACTCGTTTTTATCAGTAATAAGCGACCTTATATGATCCTTAACTTTAAGTTTACTATTCATAAATTTGCTTTGGATTTTGTTTTAATTCTACTGCAATTTTCGTATATGTTTTTATGCTACTTTTAACAAGTTTTTTTACTCTTATTTTTTGCTTTATATTCTTGATTTAGTTCTTTATTTTTAAAATCTGGTATTTTGTAACGGTTCCAAAGGTTTCTCTTTATTCTTATTTCGTGCTTAAGTTTTACATTCATCTTAAGCTTTCATTATCGCGCTTAAGTTGTTCATTCATCCATAAAGATTTTTTTTGCTTCTAAAATTTGTTTTATTCGATTTTAATTTAGGTAAACATTCATCGCAACCCTTTTCGTGAATATTTGTTACATATTTGTTGATTTTTTTATAGACTTATTAAAATAGAGAAGGTTTGTATCATCCGCAAAGTGTTGGACTCTACAAAATTTTAAAGCTTTAGACATGTCATTAATATAAATAAGAAATAGTAAAGGGCCAAGGGCAGATCTCTGAGGAACACCTATTTTGATATCTTTCAGGTCTGAGCTTACTCCACTAATGGATACTAATTGAATTCTATTAGTAAGGAAAAAAATGAACCAAGAGTTTGAAACTCCTCTAATACCATAGTAGGATAGCTTATAAAGTAGAATGTCAACATCTACAGTGTCAAATGTCTTTTGAAGGTCGATAAAAATGTATATGTGTATGCCTAACGTAGAACAAATTAATTCAATTCCAATAAAAGGTAAATATAAAGTTGTGCAAATGTAAAATATAACGTTGAATCAACTTAAAATACAACGTTTTGCCAACGTAGAATACAACGTTGAATCAACGTAAAACATAACGCAATGCCAACTTAAAATACAACGTTGAACCAACGTTGTTTTTTGGTTGTTGGTGACGTCGCATTTGTAACCAAAATGATATAAAAACAACGTTGGTGGTCGATGTTGGGCCAACGCAACGTACAACATTATTCTAACGTTTTATCAACCACTGCAGTTTTATTTAAATGATTTGATTTAAAGATTCAGTGATTTGTAAAAAGTGCTGTCACATTAAGGATTTTATTAAAAAATTGGTAAAAAATGAACTTTTTTTTCTAAGATTTCTTTCATTAAATCTATCTTACTGGTTAATTTAGGATATACTCCTGCCAAATAATTTACTTAAAAATGTCGTACGTAACTCCGTAACACCCAAATGAGCTCCATCTGTAAATTTTAGTTACAATGCAGATAGCTAAAATATTTATCTACATGTTGTTTGCATGCAAATCACAATGTTTACAGCTCTGTTATTCTTATTTGACATATTTAGAAACGACACTAAACATCGATTTTCGTAAGAGATATATGATAAATAATGTCAAACTTTCATTCAAGAAAAAAACGGATATAAAAATTGTGTGTGACTTCGAATATAAATCAAAATTCATATTTATTTTAACATTATTTTAAACCTATTTTAACAAAATATTACAAAAAAAATTAGCTTATTTAAACAATTACTAGGATTTTTAAAAATAATTTCTTATATTCAGAATGTTCTGAATTGTAATTTATATTATTTTTTAGGCATTTAGAGAATTTGATTAAGCAAAATAATGGGTGTAAAGTTTTTAGTGTGAATTAGGATAAAAAATAATGGGTGTAAAGGTTTTAGTGTGAATTAGGATATGAAATAAAATTTGTTAACAAATAAAACTCATTAGCTAACATTTAATTTCATATTATTATTTAGAAAAGGTTCGTAATTATTTGTAATTATAATAATAAAAAACATAATAATAACTGCCTCTCAATAAAAATGGCTAGTTAAATTGAACATAAGTTCAGATTTCATATTGAAATAATAAGTAACTTATAAAACCTCACTAGGTGTTTTAACTGTATTTAACTATAAGGTGGGAGTCAAAATGACCCATATACTTTTTTCATAGAAAACAACAAAATACTTTCTTTGTCTGCAAGTCGGGTCAAAATGTCCTATATCTATAGCACCATTCGTTTATTTAGAAACCTCTTTGTTAAATTAGTTTTGAAACCATGGTTGGGTCAAATTGATCCACCTATTAAGGATAAGGTTAATTGAAACAATTTGTCTCTACTAAGGTACGTTTTCTTATAACTGCAACAAAAATAGCTATAAAACATATAAGTGATGCATATAATAATCCTGGAGCAATTACACCCGTGCTTCCGAAATGCCCGAACCACATTCCTCGTCTGTTAGCGTCTCTTAAGTGATGAGAACTTATAGAGACAAACAAAATTAATGCCAGATCAATAAGCTGCTGTTTCTTTATATAAAAAACAAATATGCAAATAATGATCAGAAATACAAGAATAACTGAGTTATGTAAAAATGGACGATCAGGTAAATTTCCAGCCATCTTTATAAAAAAAAAAATAAAAAAAAAGCGTTAGTCTAAAACTAAAAGCCCAAAAAAAAATTAAAAACCTTTAAGTTATTGAAAAATTTGATCTTACCATGAGCGACCACGATTTTGCTGAGATAAAATGATCCACATCAATTACAACACCAAAAAAACCAGCCAGCACAATTTGAAGAAAGTAACGAAAGTCATAATTTACAACAACAACCCAGGATAAGGCTGCAATTACTCCATGTCCAATTTCGTCACAAAGTACTTTAAGCCATCTGCTATAGGCTAACGATACAAAAACATCATTTTTTAACAAATAGTCGTACGCTATGCACGAGAAATAAATAGGACTTATTTTAACCAGAGTTAACAGCATATATATATTCATAGCTACAATCATAAAAATATTCAAAACTAAAATCACAAAATTATGGAAAATATGAATTTAATTATAAGTATTTCGCAGAGGAAAAAAAATGCAAGTAAGTAAAAGCGTTTTTACCCAGAAAGAAAATACATTTTGTTACAAACAATAGTAATCGTTCAATAAATAGCTCGTTAAATACAAATTCATGCAAAAAACCTCGTAAAACTAATACTGCAACAATAAATAACAATACAAAACTTCACGACAAATATTTAAAATACGTTCAAAGATTATTTAAAAGATTTTGAATTTTATTTTTGAAGAGCTATTAGTGATTTTTTTTTGAAAAAACTAGATATAAAAATATCGTTTAAAAATAACTGTTTCATTTTAACAAAACCAATCAAAAAGACGGTGACTTAGAAAACATATATTCAAAATTTGTCCAAAAGCTGATTAAATATCATCATTACAAATATTAATATATAACAATATTAATATTATATTTAATAAATATTAATATTATAAATAGTCTAAAAAATACAAATAAAAAGAAATGATCATCAAGCTAAAGTTACTCCTTGAATTTGAAGTTGGTTGTTGTTGACTCAATATTTATAGGGGAATAAGTACCTAGATATAAAGACATATAATAAAAAAAAGGAAGGTTAAAAACAAGAATTACTAATTAAATCTAATGAATCATAACATAAAGCTGAAAAAACACATAAGGTTTTATCTCTCATAAGGGATCGTCCATAAATTACGTAACGCAAAAATAAACTTAAAGACAAAAGACAAAGGATTAAAAGTTTTTCCTCGCAGAGTCTATTTAAAGCAAGTATATAAACAACCTTGCAAGTCCAGCGAAAACCGCCGCATAAAAGAGCAAAATGATCTCCTACTTATACTTTTTAAGTAAGTTTTACGTTGCGTAATTTATTGACGATCCCAAAGGCAAGCTAGTATTATTTACCTCATCGTCTTCCCCCTCGGTTTCATCTTTGTATGTCCGTTGTCCTTTTGGGCGCGAATTATAACGGCTATTTTCGTGCTCAAAATTTTCTTCATTATTTTGATGCATGTAAGAGAATGTTGCATGGCTAAAGGATTTTTGATTAAAAAAGGAAATAAGCAAAAATAATAATACCATTCACTTCACAAAAAAAGCAACACTTAATTATAAAAAAAAAAAAAAAAATGAAATTTGCATTTTTGCCAACACTTTTCTTCGTGCATTAATAAAATGCAAAATAAATTTTAAACTGATGGATTTTGAAATGTTATCTTTAGAATTAAACATATAATCAGAATCACTTTAAGATATAAACTCTAAAATAATTTCGACATTAATTACATACACCATAAATGAAATTATTTGAAAAACCAATAGAAATGATAATATGAAAGCATCGTGAATTTAAAGAAAAACAAAAAAACTTCTGTATCAAATGCCATAATTCAATTTTATGTTTATGTTTTATACATTCAGAGTGCTTAATATTACACTTAGTATTTACTAAATCTAATATATTTTAGTTATACTAAAATATATTAGATTTATTATAGTCGAGATTGTCAAAGCGCTTGAGTACACTTTTACAATTTCGTTGAGTACACAATTTCGTTACCAGGTGGGCAATCTTATATTATTGTGCATAAGTGTTGTAATTCAACCCAACTACCAACTACCTTTTTTTTTTTTAAAAAAAAAAAAAAGATCAACATGGTGGATTATAAAAATTAAAAAAAACTATAGTTTTAAATTCAGTAAAAATGTATTTTCAGACTATTTTTAATTTAGAAGACAATATATAGGCATGCAACAAGCAATTCTCACACATGACTTTATTAAAGGTTGTTCATAAAAGTTTAGCAGATCTTCATGTCTAAAACTTTAAATATTATGTTTATTTCAAAAAAAAATTTCAAATTTTCACTTCATACAAAACTGGTTTACAAACAGTTGTAACTCTCATCATAAGAATGACAGCAATAAAGATTTCTGCAACAGTTTCCTCCCACAAAGTTATCTGGAGCAAAAATTGTTCTACATACCGGTTGTTTTCTGTAACTAATAAATTTACAAGTTCTACTGAAAAATAAAGTTCAACAAAAGCGCACTTTATTTAAAATAATATTGTAGATGCATCTACACAATCTTTATTTAAAATATTAAAGATATTTATGAATATCTTTTCAAACGGTGAAACCACCTTTAAATAACAGCAAATTTAAAAATTGTTTGTATATTGCATGGCCTGTTTTTCAGGCTTCTATCAAAATTGTTTAACAGCTCAACAGCCTGATATTAAGCAAGTTTAACAGCTCAAAAACATGTTGTTATTAATGCTTAACAGCCCAACAGTAGTGTTAGTAAAGGCAGTAGCATCATGCTAGCATGATGCTACTGCCTATGTACTACATCATTTACTGTTTATACATTTAGGTGAAACATAATATTTTTACTTTATGTTTAGACTTAAACTTAGACTTTAGAGTAAAAGTACCGCAAACCGGACACTCTTCACAAAAAGCTAAATAACTTTTTTAATTTTGAGAATTGGTAGGATTTTTTTCTTTCTGGAATATAGTTGTTTATTGAAGCATTTCAGCAATGTAAAAGAAAAAAAAATTAAATTTCAAGTTTTTACGGAAAATAAGATTTTATTTTTTTAAAAAGTGTCCGCTTTTCAGAAAATTGTGCCTAAAAACGTACAGTTCCAAATTAAATGAAAAAAACAAAGATAAATTGATAAATTCAATATTTTTGTTTTTATTGTTAAAATATACACATGATAATAATACAAGCATAAAAAACTAGAAAAAAACAAAAAAAACAAAAAAACTTGAGCCTAAAATAAAAATAAAAAATTTATAAATTAAGTTTTGCAACCTGTCGTGCAAAAGAATTTTTCGCCTTTTATATATCTTTTTGGGAAACAAGGTTCACAAAGCCACAAATTGCAAATTGATTTTTCACAAGTTTTCCATAAAACTTGCATATCTGGCTTTTTATTTTCGAAAAACTTTGAGCACGTTTTGCACTTTTTAGCATAAGTTTCTACTTCTGCTGCTGCAAAATCAACATATGTTCGTTTTAATAGCTTCGCGTCTTCTTCTTCTATTAACTTGTTTAACCATGATTCTTCTGTAAAAGGTTGACCAGCTACTTTTCTAATATTTCTGGCTTTTTTTGCAGGATGATTGTAGGCGTTTCGGAATTGAAATTGCTTTAAGAGAGCTCTTTTAAGACTGATTTTTACACGAGTCACCAATTCTTCTTGAAAAGTTAAATTTAAAGTTGAAATTGAAGTTGGAGTTGCTGGCGGAATTAACTTGATTTTGGTATGCGGTAGAATTGAGCTGCGCCTCTAAAGCTTAACTCGCCATTTTTAATTTTATTCAATGCATTTTTTATAGTCTCCTCAGTGTAAGGCTTCTCATTTGTTTTATTTTTTGCCATTTATAAGTCTAGTAAATTCAATTCCGTTATAGATTTTTGAAATTGAAGAATCAATGCACTTTGCGGTTACTTTGTGTACTTTTGCACTATAACTTCTACAGTATAAGTGCAAAAGGACAAAATTAATTAACACAAAAGTAAAAACTTTAAAAATCCAAATAAAAAAAATTCAGTCAATGTGTAAAAATAATAAAATAAATTAACTTTAACATAATAAGAAAATTTAATTAAAGTGAAAAAATAATAAACAAAAAAAATAAATAAACATAACCTATTAAATTTTAATTTATTATAGGGTGGATTTATTGTGTCCGGTTTAAGGTGAAAACTGAAGAAAATCTTATTTCCGTCATAACTTTTTAACAGAGTAAGAATATAAAATTCTTAAATTATTTTTACAATTAGCAGAAAATTTCCAACAAATTAGCTTTCTTTGTTTTTAAATTGCCTTTTTAAATCTTTCATGCTAAGAACCTAATGTCAAAAAAAAGGTTGATTTTTAGGGTTAGATTTTGTTTGAAGTTAAATATCTTATTAAGCTAATCATCTGAATATTTTTTTTTTGAAAATTTATAATTTTCCACACACTAAAAATAAAAACTTTAAATTTTGCAAATTTAAAAAAGTTTTTAATCTTCATTTTAAGTGAAGATGTTTAGTTTTTTCGATCAGTGTCCGCTTTTGCGCACTGTCCGGTTTGTGGTACTTTACTCTATTGTTTTTGTTGTTAGTAAATATTATTAAATAATAAAAAACAAATAATAAAAATTAAAAAAATATATATTGATAAGTAAAAATTAAATATTTAAATTTTTAAATAATTTAAATTAATTAAAACTTTATTTATAATAATACTTTACTTGTAATAATACCTTAATAATAATAATAATAATAATAATAATAATAATAATAATAATAATAATAATAATAATAAAAAATTAATACTTTATGTTTAGAGTTTCATTTTTTTTGTTTTTGGTAAATTTTGTTAGATATTAAAGAACAAATAGTAATAATGATACAAAATATTTTAATTTTCAAAATAATTTAAACTATTTAAATTTATATTATATTAAATTTTTTTCTTACTTGCTAACACTTTGATTACGTTTTTTATAATACCATACACCTGCAAATATTCCCAACAACACAATCACGCAACCAATAAGAAGCACAGGCGCAAAAATACCCTGAAGTATATTAGTAATGAATTAAACATTACCTTGAAGTATATTAGTAAAGAGTTAAACAATAAAAGCAATATATTGAATTCTATTTATTTAGTAACTTATGTCTTTATTATTTATATATTAGTGTATAAATATTATATTGTTGCATGTATGTAAATTTGTCAAAACAAAAATATTACTAAATTATTGAACTCATCGTAAAAACAAGAAAACTTAACGCTGGTTAATAACTACTTAGTTGTTGATGAAAAAGACAATAAAACTGAAATTAGTTTAAAATTTTTTTTTTGCACCAATCAGTACAAAAAACTTGTGAAAAGATTTATCATTAAGTTTCAACTTTAATAAGATAGTCACAAACCACAAGCGAGTGCTAATACTTTCAATCAAATAAATGCATTTTTTCAAAATATCGAGAAGTCATCTCAAAATATATGTTTTTGTATAAATGTGTTAAACCCAAAACCAATATTACCTAAAAATTAAGCTTAAAAATTAAATACTGAAAGATGCATCTCTAAAAACTGTGAGATCAGCACATGTAAGTAGTTAAAAGTAGAAATATTGTCTAAAATTTTAATGCACAGTATTTAAGCAAAAAAGTTAAGCTTGTGAAGTAATAAATTTTTATAAACCTTGGCTTTACCTCTTCCAGAGAATTTAAAGTTCCAATACAGCTCCCATATCTTTATGTAATGACTTCTAACTTTTCATTTATATTTAAGTAAATTTTTTTATATCATATCTTTATGTAATAACTTTTCATTTATATTTAAGTAAATTTTTTTAAGTAAATAAAAAAGATTTATCACATAAACATCCTCAAATAGATATATTAATAAAAATAACAAAAAATAAATTAACTGATATTATTATTACAATTACAAGAAATTCAAAAAATAATAAAACAAATTTAAAAATTCATAATTAATTTTTTGTTAAAAGTTAGAAGTGCCAATTTTTCTCAACGTTGAGTTAAGTAGAAACGAGTGGCTATGCAGGTTTGAAAACCAGATAACAATATTACAAAGCAGTCATGTTTCTCACAAGTACAAAAGCATTAACTGTTGGGCAGAGTGACAAACCCAAGAAAACATATATGGTGAAGTTGGAAATGTTGGTGAATTCTGCGCCTTTAATCTTCTATACATTCAAGCTTTTGTGTGTCAGATGTACAACCAACAATGGCAAACTACATTAACTAATGAACATTTTGAAATTAAAGTATAGATGACATTAATAAATTGATTATTATTCATTTATTCTTTAGTTTCTAATATTAGAAAAAAATTATTCATTGATGCTTCATTAAGCATTAAAGTCTACTTTTTGTTAAATATAATTTTTGAAAACAAAATATTGCACATCTAAAAAGACTAATCAAAAGCAAAAAGAGAAAGTAGAATTAGACACATCAGAAAGTAATACAATTAAATATTGAAACAGCAAAAAAAAAAAAACTCGTTTGAACAGTCAGCCATAGAGCGAGAGGATCAAAAACCGTATTGTCTGTCAGTAAGTTATTTGACTCAAGATGGGATGTTAAAATGTTGATCAAAGACTTAAAGACAATTGTTGATCAAAGACTCAAAGTTGAAGAAAAAGTTGAAGAGAATTCTGGAGAACACTTTTGTATAACTATGACAGGAATGTTGTCTAGACTACAAAGCATAGAAATTTTAATGACCAACTATGTGTTAACCTGGAATTAATTGGAATGAAAGAAAGAGTATGCCCATAAAATTCAAGAATCGAATTAAAAGAAAAGTTATTTTATAGTTCTGCTTTATCATTGGGGGAGGTAAAAAGATCAGTTTCTCCAGAAGTCACGAGAGCCTAATTTTTGTGATGAAATACGAGATTTCGTGATCTGAGAATAGCGGGCTTTGGCATTAGACAAAACTTTTTTACAATGGTTCCTAGCAGTAATAAACAGACGTCTGTTTTCTAGAGAATTGTTTTGCTGATAGATATGGAAGTAATGGTTTCGATTGGCAATTGCAGCAGCACAGTGTGAGGAAAACCATGGAGAAGAGTGAGGCTTGACCTGGAATTGTCAAGAGGGAATAAAGGATTCCATGCCAGTCTGAATCCACAAAGTTATGTAAGAAGCACATTTGTCATCACGGGGGCCATCACAAAGAAAATCACGGAAAGAGTCCCAACCAGCTTTAAGGTAGTTGTAAGATGTACGATGATAGGGAAATTCTGATGGTAAAGAAGAATGAGATAATGGTTTTAGAGAGACCAAACCATGATCAGAAGCACCTAAGGGTCTTTTTTGCCCTTATCTCTTATACATATTTTGAAGGCTCTACATATATGCTTTAATAAAATTATTTATCTAGCTGCTAGTATCTGCTACTTTTTTTAATACTTGCTGTAAAATAAAAGATGTTTTTTCTTCAAGTTTTTTTTTTAATATTTTAAAATAAAAAGAGAATATATATATATATATATATATATATATATATATATATATATATATATATATATATATATATATATAATATTTAAAATTATTTTAATTTTTATTTAAATACTATTGTTTGTAATATGTCAACATGTACAAAATATCAAGTTCATCAATTCATAAGACAGCATGGTTTATCTATGTCTAATCAAAAAGACAAACTTGATGTTCACATTTTTATTTGTGAATACTTTTCTCAATTTGATGCTCAATTTGTAACTTTTTTGTCAAAGTATTGTAAACGTTGGTCTTTAAGTTGAAGAGTTGATGAAAACTTCTTGTAACCTCATTCCTAACTCCAACCTAAGAAAAAGACTATTAAATCATCAAAAAATTAGAATGATAAAACAAAATTTATAGATAGTGGTAAGCCAGTGAAATCATTTGAAATTCATCAAATAAGACAAAGAGTCGTAAAGTAGCAGCTGGTAGTTATAAGTAGTAATTATCAATGATCTTGAAAAGAGTTATCAATGATCTTGAAAGACTAACATTACATTCAAAAGTTTGGTTTGATGGATCAACTAGCTGAAGGATTTTTAATTAGGCAACAGTTGAGATGAAGACCAAAATTTTTTATTAGAAGCTAAAAATATGTTGTTGACAGAAATAGGCCTATTTCTCTGCTTTGGCCTTTTAACTTTCCATGCTTGGAATAAAAGCATGGAATATCTTCTTAAAATTAACTATAAAATAACAGTGAAAAGGTGGTCTACAAGCACACCATTTGAAAAGAAAATTATCCAAGGAAAAAAACAGAAAATTTAAATAAAATTTTGTGGCGAAGTTGGACTGGTAGTTGATATGTTATTATCTGGTGGCTCTGGGTCATCAAATACTGGGTCATCAAACACAGGTAGAAGACTTTTTTAGAATGTAGAAAGGTTTACTCTTATTCTTGAACTTGTTGTTACGATAAAAAAGTTACATGTTATTTTGTGTACATTGTTATCTAGCTTTCTAATTGACACATCATTATTTAGGGAGTTTTGAGCTTCTTATGCCTCTTTAGTATAGAGGCACAAGAAGCTCAAAATTAAAACTTAAAGAAGTTTTGTGAATCATTTTCCAAAAAGTGTTTGCGGTCAAAAAGAAAATGAAGATTTATCAAGGTGACTAATATGCTCTTTTGACCTTTTGATAGGTAGTTTGAGAAAGTCATATTATCCTAAGAGCAATGCTTTTCTAATTGGCATTCTAAATGTATTCAAAGAGGTTCCAATTTTTGAATAACTATAAATTGCAATTGCATGGTTTTGATTTTAGTTGGTATTCAAGGTGTTAATTGTCTTTATTAGTATTTGTTATTTATATAATAAAATAATGCATGTTATGCAAATAAACATTGTTTTGAATATACAAATTTGCTTGTACTCTTATATATACTTTTTAAAGTATTCAATACCTCTAACTGTATTAACACTTGTTGATTTTTATTTTGTTGCTTAGGACATGTGAACTACATAGATACAATTAGTTTAAATTTTTTTAACTGTGTCTATAAACCTTGAGAGGTAAAATTGTTTCTAAAGTTATAATTTCATTTTTGAATTAAAGAAATTTTGAATTAAGCAAGTTTTATTAAAAAAAAAAAAAAAAAAACTTGTTTAAGAGCCGCAAACGGCATAGCAACACCAAAAACTACTAACTATTGCTTGTGTTAACACAAAAATAGCATCGTAGCAAAAATATCAGTTTAGTTTATAATTTTGACATTTTAAGAAGTCTCTTAACTTAGGTAACTATGCAAAATACACTGTTGCTATGGAATATAGGTATCCATAGCAACTAAATAAACAATCTAATGGTACCATTAAATTTGTAGTATAAAATATAGTCAACCTGACAATTATGGGGAAAATCTGATTAATATTTTAAGTTATTACTTTGGTCCAGCTATTAATGATTTTGGTCCACTGTGCACTGCATCAAGTCTTAAAAGCAAGAGCATTAGTGAACTTTGCAACACTGATCTACAGTAGATGGTGGACGAAATGCAATTATGGGGTAGATGCACCACATAACAACCTGCAATTGAATAATTCTTTATTGTAGTACAAGGTCGTAAATACAGATTTCTCCCAGAGTGTGCTGCATGCCTTCAAACTCTAGGACCTGATTGTAGGAATGATTCTTCATGCTCTGTGAAGCAGTAAGGTGTCTGAAACTGGACAACAATCCCTTGCAGATAAAAAAGATGTAGTGAATGATTAACCTGGCAACTGATCTTCTTTTGGGTGCAACTGATCTAAGCTTCAGCCATTTATTCATTTTTTTTTTAAATTCTGATTCATTCCAAACAAGGCTGCAAGCAACCAATATCAAGTGAAAGTTACTGGAAAAGTAGAAAGTAGAGTTAAAGAGTAAGAAAACGATTGACAAAAGACATAAAGATCGAAGAGAGTTCCAAGTAGTTAAAGTGCAGGGAAAAAAATTTACAAATAAAAGTTTTTAGAGCATGCTGGGACAGATACAGTAAATGAATGTGACTATGCTGAATGACAAGTGAAAGAAGAATGAGTTTAAGTTGACAGAACTATAGATGATAGCTCCTTGAGCAGTGTCCACAAGTTTCTCCAGTTTCTCTATGCTAGAGCCATTTGAGGTCTTTTCTAGCAAATTTCTGTCTTTAAGGAGAGTTATCATGTCATGAGCTATTTTTTTAAAAAAGCTTAATGGCGTCTCAACTTGATAAAAAAAAAAGAAGAATCTCAAAAAAAATATTGTAGAAGAACTCGTTCAAATTAAACACTGATAACACTAGTATTGATGGCAAAAATCCCTGAAATTTTCAATTCCAGGATTCAGGATTGAGAAATTTGTCCCCGGGAAATCCCGGGATTGAATAGAAAACGCAAACGCAATTGAATACTTTGTAAGCACTCATCAAACACTTAAAGATGATTAATTTAATGATAATATAACTAAAATATTTAATACATTAATGAACCTCTAAAATTAAGTTAAATCGTGTTTTAACTTAATTTTATATTAAAACTTTTTACTTTTAAAAATTTTTTTAAATTTTTTAAAAATTAATAAACCTAAGTATTTTAAATTATAAAACAATACCTTAAAATGGTAACACAGATAAATAAAAATAAAAATTAAAAAATAATATAAATATGCATGACGTTAAAAAAAACTTTAGTAAATCACACATTTTCATAAATCACACATTTAAAAACTAAAATGAATGGGTATAAAAATGTCATTAAAAGGAAGCAAAAAATTCAAAATTAAATTAATGTATACCTTCTATTAAAAACTGTTGCTCTTTTTACCAGCAAGTGCTTAAATTCTATTTATTTTTATAATATACTAGTTTTAATATTATCAAGGCCGTCCCGAGGAGGGGCATATGGGGTGTCTAACCCCCTAGGAATTTTTTTAGTCTGCAAAATGGACATTGTAGTCGGCAAAATTAGATTTATAGTTGGAAGTCAGCAAATGTCGGAAAACAAGGATCTTTTTTTTTTTTTGAGATAAGTTACTGGGCAAAATAATTTATATATATATATATATATATATATATATATATATATATATATATATATACATATATATATATATAAATATATATATATATATATATATATATATATATATATATATATATATATATATATACATATATATATATATATATATATATATATATATATATATATATATATATATATATATATATATATATATATATATATATATATATATATATATATATATATATAAACATATTTACATTTTGCAGACAAGCAATTATGTTTTGAGTTTTTTTTTTAGTAAAATACAGAAAAAGAGAGTTTTAAAATTTTACTAACTTTTCCTTTTTTTTAACAATCCCAAAATCCCGGGAAATTTCGGAGACTAATCCCAGGATTTCGGGATGAACAATTTGTACGAAATCACGGGATTTCGGGATCCCGGGATTGCAATTCCTAAACACTAGTACTGCTGTTTTTCAATTTTCTTCTATAAATTTCTTAAATTTACTTTGAGTCATTTCTGTAATTTTCTAATTTGTGTTTTGTATTTTTATACATATTAAACTATGTAAATTTCTATTCAGTTGTAAGTTTTATTTAAATTTAGCATTAACTATATATTTCTTTAACTATATAGTCACAACTGTTTTTTGTAATTTCAATAAACAATGAAGTTATAATTGATGACTACTCAATTTGTATATGTATTGTATGTTTTACTCAATATGTATATGTATTATATGTTTCCTTAATTTTTTTAAACTAGTTATTTACAGATAAAAAAAAAAGTAAAAAAAAAGAAGCAAACCTTTTTATTTTCAACGGGACTAGGAGTTTTCATTACTTCTTCCTCTAACTTAGCAATGCCATAATATTCTGCAACACTCAATTTAGAACACTTTTTATGTTCATCAATATATTTAACTACATCATCTATTGCTTCCTTTGATTCACATAAATCACCAGGTATTCGCCGAAACCTTAAAAAATTAAAATAACAAATGTTAAAGCTGGTTTAACATTACACAGGCATAAGAAACAAATCTAACAGTTAGTAAAACAACATATTTCGTGAAAGCAAGTATGACAAAACTTAAAAAAAAGGAAAATTTATTATTAAAAATGATGACATTAATATTATAACTAATATTATGTTTTACTACTTTTTTATTTTTTTGATTCTTTTAAAAAAACTGTAAAAGATTCCAAAAACAATGGTTTTTGCAGCTCTGAAGCCAGAAGGTGTTTTCCTCAAGTAAAAGTTCATCAAAGTTAAAAAAGTTGGCACTAATTTTAAAAAGTCTGCCTTATTTACTTCATAAAAATCCAAATGTTGGCAACAAAGTTGTTACTTTTGTGCTAAAAAAAACCTGTTGTTGATGACAGTACAAAAGTAAAACTTGCAACAGAAGAAAATGTTCAACTTCTACAGAGAGAAATCGCCTATAAAGCAGATAAAAGTAAAATCTTAAATTTGAAATCATGATCGTGCATTGTTACAAAAATAAAGATAAGATGTCAGAAGATCTAGAATCCAGCAGAACACCTGATGATACAAACAAGTCAAACTAATTGAAAAGCAATGATATTAAAAAATGTCAATTCAAGAATGGTATAAAATTTTAAACAAGATATTGTTTATTGTGCTGGCACTTGAGTTACTAAAGTATGTTCTTTAAGGAAATTATATTTTTTTAATTTTGTTGCACATGGTAGCATTGATGATGAAGAGATATCTCTTAAAACAGCATGCAATTTTCAACCAAATAACAAGAGATACAGAGGGCAACAAGGTGAACATAACAAAAATAGTTCAAACTATAACAGAAAACCACCGTAATCTATTTTTCTCACAAATCAATTTATCAACTTCTTTCAACAACTCAAATGATTGAAGTTTACCTTGGTCTCTGACCTCAAGAACACCAACATTTTTGGCCTCTGATCTCAAATTCATTAACACCATTCTTGGATAATATTCAAGCTCCTTATTTCCTTATCTTGACTTGAGAATCATGGTCATAAATACTCATGTTGTTATTGTGACACGCTTATTATTATTTTTTTTATAAGTTTATAAAGCAAAATAACGATAAACTTAAAAGATTGTAAATTATATGAATCAGAAGAACAAGATAAAGGGATGAAAGAAAAAAGAAATAAGACTTTATTATTTATAAGACTTAATGACAAGTAACACGAGAATGTTAGTAGATGGCACAAGAGAAGTTAGCTCTTTAGAGCAGTGCCCAATATAGTAATTATAGAAAAAAGAAAGTGAAGCAACACTATGACGATATGATAATGGTCAGAGGTTGGCTGCAAGAGGAAGTTAAACTTTGTTTACAACACATTTTTGCACCTTGTCTAAAAGAGAAAGGGAATTATTTGAATATTGTATTTGTAGAAAAGAGAAATGTTTGAGAAACAAAACAAGTTGATAAAATTGCTAAAAAACTTTGATTAAAATGGTGGCATTTTTGATGGTCTCATGACACTTCACTATCCAATTAAAGATCTGGAAAGTAATTTTTTAAAATTGTTTTTAAACCTTTTAATTGTTTTTTTTTTAATTCATTTATAATGAATCAATATAAATTTAATGTATAAATGATGTAATGACAGATTTGATACAATGTAGCTTTAGGTGGAATCTAACTTAATTGAGATAAAATACAACCAAGTTAAAAATACAATATAAAATAATTGCTAAGAGCTAAACTAAAGTTGACACTACATTAGCATATTGTGTCAATTTAAATTTTATAACAAAGCAAAAAATAAGAAAAATTATTGCTATTATAGATAAATATTTTATAGTTTATTATAAACATTATAACATTATTATAATGTTTATCTAAAATAAATTTTACAATCATTTCAGTTCATGTCATAAATATTTTTTAAAGCCTTGAACCAGCTCTATTTTTTTAGCCTTGAACCAGCTCTATTTTTAAAATAAAGTTATAAAGAATAAAAATAAAAATCAAACCCTCTAGAATAATTCTTCTGGTACTCTTCACCATCCAGGCAAACTTTTTCAAGTTCAATAGAAGGAACTCGTTTGCAAGTGCCATCTTTCTGCCTCTTATAACCATAATCACTTTAAAAATAATTGAAAAGTCTTTAAAAAATTGCAATTAAACCCAATACTGCATATTTATAGTACATCTTTATGTTTACATTTTGACATTTAAACAAATTAAAGCCATACCATTCTAAGTCATCCTTAGTACAGTTACATTTTTCTCGTTTTAAAACAGGATCAAAATTTTTACCAATGAAACATCTAAAAATTACATATGTATGTATATATGTATAAAAGCAAAGTTTTTTCCAAAAACCTTTTGGGTCCCGACCAAACAAAATTGGGGCCAAAAACATAAGTTGTTTTAAACCAATGACAAAAACCTTTAAATTTATACTATAGATTTTTTCTTTTTTAAAAAACAGTATACATTGACACAAAGATAGCCAAGTGCTATCTTTGATATCAAAGATATCAAGTGCTTTAGATGTTTTTAATAAGCATCTTTTAGACATAAAAAAAACTCCAAATTTGAGTATCTAAATTTGAGTATGTATTTGAGTAAAGTATTTCTATGCTTTTTTTGTTTGGCAAAAATAAAAAAAAACAGAACATAATTTTTAGAATACTCACTCTTTATCTGGAGACGGTTTTATATAAGTTGTTTTTTGACCAAGAATGCACCCGTCTTTTTTATTTAATGCGTGAGGGTACCAGGTTATAAAGGATTCTTTAGTACCTAAAAACAAAAGATGTAAATGTATTTTGTAGTAGATGTATTTAGATGATAAAAATTGTTACTTTATTTTTACTTTGTTTATACATATTTATTTTGTCTTTTTTTTTACTATATATGCATCATTTTGTTTTAGTTGTCTATGCAAACATTTTTTTTTATAAATCATTGTTGCATACACACACACACACACGCACACATACACACACACACGCGCGCACATACACATACACATGTAAATACATACACACACATATACACACACTAAAACAAAGAAAAAAAATCTGGTAAATTTTGAAGAGCAAAGTTCACAATTCCAACACCAAGACACAAATAATTTATCAATCAGAAATAGAGTATTAACAATTATGTCATATCATATATATAAATATCATCAATATTAGCCAGACAACTAAATCAGATCATAATGACAATATTTGCTCCCCACCATCTATATAATTTTATATAACATTATGCTGACATTTAATTTAATGAGCCATTTATCTTTGGTTGTTATAGCTCAGAGTATTCTAACTTGCACATATAACTTGTGAATTTATACAAAAAATAACTTTTTGCATCCTTGCACATTTAACACAATTATTCTCCCTAGGTAGTTTCTCAGGAAGGTAAGTTATAAGATAATTAAACAACTGTTTCATGAAAATCACCCTATTAGAGTGGTCGAGAATTACATAACACAAGCCTAACTTTGCTCTACTACAAACAAAACTATACATAAAATAACTATATATTATATTAGACCAGTTTGAGCAATTTTAGAGGTCAATAGGATTTCAAAATTTTGTGCAAGCACCTAATTTTACAATATTTTAGAAGAAATCACATTGTTTAGTATTTATACATAATTTTTAATTTCGTTTTTCCGAGTAGCCCTTCTGGGACACCATACAAATAATAATTCTAGTTCTTTGTGCAATTTGTAAACAGCAGCCATCTTGCCATCAGGAGATAATTTTTAAAAATTGAAAATTTTCCAAAAGCATGGTATTTTTGAATTTTTATTGACTATAGAAGAAAAGCTTAAAAGATTAATATTTTGCATCAGATGCTTTATGCACACATTATATAATTACTATTAATTAGTTAACATGATTAATTAATTAATAATGTTTTGTTTATTAAATTGATTAGTGTAATATTATTAACTTATCAGTCTCATAATGAGGCCTTGAAACAATTGTTGTTGTTTTTAAAATGAACGTTGAACAGTTGACATAACAATTCATAAACAGCAATAATATGACTATATTTACTATTCAGTATTTTTTGTATCCACAGACAGGTACTTTAGCATAAGCTGCAACAAGAAGCTCTGGTGAAGTTTGGCTTGTTGGCAACTAAATCTCTTCAACAAGATCGGCTACAAACAGTGATACCATCTGCTGCCTTTTTTATCACCTTAAAGAACACCTCATTTTTAAAGACAGTATTAGTTGCACAATTAAAGATATCAATATGATATGGAGCAAAAACTGTGACTCAGAAGATTGATTCTGGTGATAGAAAACTCAAGACAAGAAAGAAACCTCATATAGAAGCTAATGAAAATCGAAGACGTAAAGGGTTAGAAAAGCTGCAGCTGTAGAAACGTTTGGTAGTGCTTTGAATATCAGTTCTTCTTTTAAGTATGAAGATGAGGAGGATACTGACAATAAAGACTTCGAAGTTCCATCATAATCACCTGCTCTAACTTGATCTACATCAAAGCCTAAAGAATTCAAAAGCTTGATAATAACACCAGAAGTTGTTTCTGATTGTGGAGCAATTTACTGTGAATAAATTACTGTGATTGTCACAGGGAAAAGAATCAAGAAGTTGTTGGCAGTCCAGAAAATTGGAAAAGGAAATGGGGAAGAACACGCTGCTGGATGCTTAAACGTACTAGATGACTGGAACATACAAGAAAAACTTCAGGGTCTGGTATTTGATAAAACCTCCAGCAACACAGGCATCTTATGATGAATACATGCGTTCTTATTGAGGAAGCCATGAACTTGTAGTCATTGGACACTGTCATTATGTCTGGAAGTCGCTCTGAGAAGCATCTTCACAGTTGTTTTTAGTGGGACATTGGATCCGAACATTGGTATTTTTAAGAGCTTCCAGAAGAAATGATCATACATAAGTCAAACAGAGTACTCACTAACTAAAGACGAAATCTTTAATAAGGATACAGAAACTCTTTAGAAGGAGATAGTTATCTTCTACATTAAAGCCATAGAACATCAGCAGCATCAAGAGGATTACCTCGAGCTTCTTCAGCTATTTATTTTCTTCCTCAGCGGAAGCAGTCTCAAAATAGACATCTAGTTTCAAGCTCTAGGAACAATGTACCATGATCAATAGGTGTCAAAAGCCATCTATTCTCTGAAAATGGTGCTATATGAAGGCCAGTTTGAATTGACTGCTAAAGAAAAGCTAGGTCTAAAGAAGCTGACACTCGTTTCTCTAATTTATGGACATTTCTGGCACAAGGCTGCATTGTCTTTACATGCTCCCCAAAATAATGCAATGATGCTCAGGCTTCTCAAGAAATATCCAAACTGTATCATTGCTGATGCGGCCTACAAATCATTTACTCAGCACCTGTGGTTCTTCTTAGAACACTTCATAGTCTAGATTTGTTTAACGATGGAGTTTTTCTAGATGTCAAAAGAGCCGTAATAGCCAACCTCCAGCTTCTAAAGACTCAAACAGCTCTGAAGAGAATAAGCATATGTGGTGCAGACTTTAAGAGTTAAAAGCTTGTGATGCAAAGAACATTTTGTCTCTTAAAAGTGCCTAATATCACAGAAAAAGAGGATGCCAAGAGTTTCCTAATGAAAAATCTAAAAGCCTGGGAATCAGATGCTTTCAACAAAAAGTTAAAGGATTGAGTTGACAAGACGTAGATCATCAATGATAGCGCAGAGCATGACATCACTCTTAGCCAGAAATACTATGAAACCCTAACCAAAGACGAGGATCAAAAACAGTTACTGCATTGTTTTGTTCACCAACATCACTAGATTTATTTATCCTGCTCTAAAAGCAGCCATGATGACAAATCATGACTTTGAGATTTTGCCGAGATTTTTGAGAATTTTTTACATTGTACTTATAATGTCATACTTTTAAAATCAGTATTAAATAATAACTCTCAGTATTATTTTTTAATGAATTATTATTAGGACCTAATGATAATTGATTGTTTTATATGTTTCATTTGCTTGATTAACTGAAAAAGGTGTTACATATTCAATTTAAAATTTTAAATAAAATATAAAAACTACAAATAAAATTTTTACCCTTTTGACTATATACTTGAAAAGTCAAATTTTTATTGCCCCCTAAATATTGTCAGATTTGCTTCAAATTATTACAGAAATTCTCTAATATTATATGAACCAAGATAAGTCTTGTTAAGAACGGAATTTCAAAACTTCAATTTTTGGGACCACCTCATTACCTATGGTAACCAGGATAAAAAATGTATTTTTTTTTTGAGTGCCGCAGTTAAAGTCAAATCAGAAAAAGATAATAAAGAGTAGAACAAAAACTGTATACGTATGTATATGTATTTGCAAATATCTAAACCCATGTTATATTTGATCATTTAAACTTATTTTTATTATGTAGTGAAAATGGAAGGTGAAGGTGATGGTATAGTGATAATGATAGAAAAATAAAACTTGAAGTTAAAGATGTAGTTAAGATAGAAAAAATGTGAAAGCTAAAGATGAAGATGAAAGAGAAATAAAAGGTTAAGGATGCAGTACATTTAAAATGAAAGGGAGAAATTTCACTCAACTTTGTTTTACATTAAAATAAACTAAAAGAAGTTGTTTTTTTCAATCTACTGATTTTAACTGAATCAAAACTATTTTTAGTTGTTGTTATTTGTTTTTTTCAAATAAATGTTTTGTTTATGCAACACAATGATCGCAAAAAGTGACCAACGGAGCTGTCCAGTTTCGTAGACCTGAGAGATGTGATAATAAAAACAGTTAGAAGATGGTGTCATTGAATAAAAAATAAAAATCATAAAAAAATATAAAATGAGTGACAAGACTTTAGTGAAGGTGAAGAATGAAGTTAAATGCTCAGGGAGGGGAGGGAGGCAGAGGGAAAACCAATAACACTCTAGTCACTCTGTGTGTAGATCATATGTAACAAAGGAAAAATATTTGATAGCTGATTTTGGAGACTGTTGATGTCTACAGGTGTGATGGTGTAGTGCATTAGTATATACTGTTTGGTGGTCTAGTATGGTCTTGTTATGTTTTTGTTCACTTTCAAATCAGGTGAATAGAAAGCTAAACACACTTACTCCTTGCGCTTATGGGCTAGCACATCAAAGCCAGACGTAAGACCTACAGAATAGATTTCAATTGATCGAATGTACACATTAGTCACCATAGGCCACAAGCCATCACTAGAGCTACTGCCCCGTACTGGTGTGGAATTATTGCCAGTAAATGTAGAATGAAATTTAAAATGAAAGGGGGAAATTTCACTCAACTTTGTTTTACAATAAAATAAACTCAAAGAAGGTAATACTTATTTTTTGAATCAAAACTACTTTTAGTTGTTTTTATTTGTTTATTTTTAAATAAAATTTTCAAATAAATGGAATTTTTACATCCTAGGACAATACACTTGAAATTGGAACTTCTGTAATTTGAAAGATCATTTAAATCAAACAAATTTTTCAGTACCTTCATGTTTTATTTGGAATTTATAGAAGCTGTGGCGCAGTGGTAGCGCACTTGCCTCGCGTAAGATTCATGGTTCAAACCCCACCTCTGGGCAAGTTTTGCAACATTGGTTGGGAAGGAGATGTGAACTTCCTATTAAATGCTCTTCTGTGGTGCTCTGTCACAGAGCACTTCTTGGGGCACCTTAATCAATTAAAAAAAAAAAAAAGAACTCCTGTAATTCAAAAACAATGTAATTCAACTACAATTTGAAATTCTTTAAGAATTTAAATTACACAAGTTTAATTGTATATAAAATAAATTATATTCTGAAAACCTAAAACTTTAAAAAAAATTTTTATTATGAACTTAATTCTATAAAATTTTTGTAGAAAGCACTTTATAAAACAAATTTGTTTACATACTCAGTTTGAAAAGTTTGCTATTAATTCTTGAACAAACACTTCAAAAATCAACATAAACCTATATATCTGGTTGCCAAAAAACTAAAATAACAAAATCTAAGATGTACAATGTCATAAACCTATGTATCTGCATTCTGAAAAAAAAGGCAGAATTTTCAACCTTAGAGTTGGATATGCAATATAGTAGGGCATTATTTTCAACTCTCTTGGTAAAATTATATTATAAATTATTAATTTTCATAAAATTTTCTAACTTAAAGAAACAATTATCTTTCACAGAAAGTAGAAAATCATACCTTACTAAAGCTATATCACATACTCTACCCTAAGGTATAATCACTTCTACTTTTTTTTTTTTAACAATGATTGCTAAAAAAAGAAAACAAAATCTAAAATATATGATTTTATCTTTCAATATATTAATAATGAAAAAAAGTACTGAAGTGAGAGAAATAATAAACATTACTGAATTCAAGAAAATGGTAAAACTAGCATTATTGAAAATTCAATGCAAAAGATTTAGTCAAAAAAAACAAATAGAATAAAAGTGGCTTTCAAGCATAGGAATCATATTGCAGGAGCAAAAAGCAAAGAAAAAGTTTTGATATTGTTATCAACAAATTTTTAAAGATATTTCTCATTTGAGAAGTAGTCTGCACTGTGGATTCTGTAACATCAAGGAATGTTACAAAAATTACAGCAAAAGTTTTTTTTTTTTTTTTTAATTTAATTATCTTCGCTTCCAACAAGGCTGCAAGCAACCACTATTTAGTGTTGGAAGTTACTGGAAGAGAAAAGATGAAGATTGTAGAGCAAGATAACAATTAACAGACGACTTAAAAGATTGCAAATTATATGTATTAGGAAAGCAAGATGAAGGAAGCGAATTCCAAAGAACTGATGTTCGAGGAAAAAAAACTAGACGAATAAGAGTTTTTGGAGCACTTAGGAACAGTAACAGAAAAAGGATGAGACTTAATTGAATGACGAGTAACACGAGAATGAATATTAGTAGATGGCACAAGAGACGCTAGCTCTTTCGAGCAGTGCCCATTATAGTATTTGTAGAAAAGAGAAAAAGAAGCAACATTACGACGATGTGACAGAGGTTGAAGGTTGGCTGCAAGAGCAGGTCCAACTATGTTTACAATACGTTTTTGCACCTTGTCTAAAAGAGAAAGGGCATCATTAGAAGATCCGCCCCAGATATGGCAACAGTATTCCATACAAGGTGGGATTTGAGATTTATAGAGATAGAGAATAGAATCCAGAGTAAGAAAGTGACGGGCTCGATAAAGAGAAGCAACTTTAGCAGATGCTAATTTTGCAACGGGTTTGATATAAGGTTTCTAAGAAAGATCAGAAGTAAGAGTTAATCCTAGAAGGTGAAGGGTAGGAGACTCATCGTGTGTTTCTAAGTGCTTCTAAAAACATCTTTTACATCTACACAATTGACATAAATTATAATTGTAACTATAACTATAATTGTAACTGGGTTGTAATAATTCTTTTTAAATTGCTCAGGTCCAAAATATGTAAAATAAAATAAATATGCTTTTAAATACTTTAGAGTTTTAGAGTTTGTGAAATTCAGGTCATTTTGCTGTTTTAAACAAACCATCAAAAAATATAAACAGATTTACTTTTAGACAGGCTTAACATTTATTTATTCATATTTTCAGATAAGATATTAGCATTCTAATAGTATACAAATCTGCTTTTTATATGAACTTAGGCTTTTAACACCAACCTTAAGTCTAAATACTGAAAAATTTTCTTATTCAAACAATTTTGAAATTTAAATTTGAAATTAAAAAAAAATTAAAAATATAAAAGAATTTTAATGCTCCCGACAATAATTATAAATTTAATTGCAGCAATGTCCGTGATACCCAGTGGCATATCGAGGATCATTCTTGAAAGTCAAAATTTAGAAGATTGTGCAAGCAAGAAAAAAATTTCTATTTAAATCAAAAACATTTTGAATAGTTAAATATTTTTTGTAAAGACTTCATTATTTTTTGTTCCTTGAAAACAGTTTTAAAATCACAAACATTCTATTGCAAACATTAAACCAGTGATTACTGCAAACAATAAAACAAAAATTAAATTAAAAAAAAATATTATTCTACTTTTGTTAAAAAAAAAAAAAAAATTAATTAATTTAAGCATATACTTAAAGTATATTTAAACATATGAAAATATAACTTGACTTAATAAACTAAATACTCTTTCTCACTTTTTATTGCAAAACAATTTGAACAAAAAAAACTAAATGAAAACACAAATTTAAAAATTATTTGAATGAAAAAATTAATTATATTTATAATACGCTAGATCGAGAAGCAAGAAGTTAGAAAAACTTAGTATCTAATATTTTTTTGCTTTGATCTTTTTATGTGTTTAGTGTTGTTTGGTATAGTTACACTCTACAATAAAACAACCATAATTGTTTTATCTCTTATCTTATTAGGGTTACTTTACAACACATAGGATGACTGGAACACATCTAATAGTTATTTTTCAACAATTTTGCAACAATATCTATAGAAAAAATATCTATAGATGCTAATATTACTAATACACCTATCTAAAAATATAAAAAATATTTATTTTTAAAATGTCTTGATTATTCTAGCACAAAACAATTTTTGCATAAATTTTTACATTTATGTTAATAATGAACATAACTATTACTTTTGTGTCTAATTATGCAGTTTATAGTTGAATGATTATAAAATAAATAAAAAAGTGTAAAAAAATGTTTACATTCTTTTGTAAAAATATCCTTGAAGCTAATTGTAATCACAAACCATTCACGCTCAGAAACATTTTTGGAAGCTTTATAACCCCACAAACTAAAGGTTCTATACTGAGAATGAGTCTCTGCTACAAGACCCTTAACATAAAGGTCGCTTTCATTGCTGAACTTATAATTGTTCCAGCTGTCACCTTGGTCTACTGAATATCTAATAAACAGAAATTTTTATTTAATAATTACATTTATATATATATATATATATATATATATATATATATATATATATATATATATATATATATATATATATATATATATATATATATATATATATATATATAAGGTCAGGTCAGGTTTTCCTGCTACTGGTAACATGTAACCCAGTACAACCTGCTCCATGTCCTGCTGCCTTGTAGGATACGCTTTTTTAGGCAAAGGCTAGGAGAAGTTAACTCCGAATTAAAACACCCCCTGCCTTGGGGCTCTTGGTTGAGTAAAGGCTAGAGATGGTGTCTCGATAAAAATACTCATCTTGGGCAGATGTTACATGCATCCAGCTACTGTCTTGTAGAAGGCCTCCTAGGCAAAGACTTAAGGGGTAAACAGATTCTATCTGTTGACCAGCCTCGCACCCCTTCCTCATCTATTAGGCTGGCGCAGATGTATTTTTAATACATTGTTTCCAGTTTAGGATGTTGAACGCTGGATCTTCTTGACTCAATGCGTGGGTATTGCTTGTGTCTCTATTTTTATGACTGGGCAACTCATTCTATTATCTCCTAATGAGGGTACAGCTCTAAAACTCAGTTTTATGGTTCTGAGGCCGGCTGGTAGTCAGGTTTCCCGAACTCTGTGGTAGCTCTCAGAGAGGCTGATTCCATCAACAGCCGAAAAATATCAGAGTACTAACAGTGCCATGTTGCGCATGGATGGTGTCCCTGTTTGTACTTTTGGTGTGCATTGCAGAGGCCACATTTGGAGCCCTTTGTTACGGCTTAGGGTTTATTAATAGTAATGAGGCTATTGCTTAGTTGTTAAATAGTGTACTGAGTACTATCTATACTTGAGTCAAGTTCTTTATAAATTTAAAATGACTAAAGTACCTAAAACTAAAAAACACAAAAAACCATCGTCATCACCAAGTTCTCTAAACCTATCATTTACTAATATTCGTGGTCTTCGAAGTAACTTTTCTTCTGTTGAGTCTTATCTCTTGCAAAGTTCACCAGACCTACTTGCTCTTTGTGAGACTAATTTGAGTTCGGCTGTCCCATCTTGTGATCTTAGTGTTGATGGTTATCTTCCTTTAATTCGTAAAGACTCCAATAATCACATGCTTGGCCTGGGCATCTACATTCGTAAGAACTCACCCATTTGTCGTGAAACTAGGTTTGAATCTACAGACTATTCATTTATGTGCTTTCGTTTAGCACAACTTCACTCTATCGCCTTTCTCTTTGTTCTATATCGCTCTCCTTCATCCCAAGATTGCACTATTCTTGATGTTATTTCTGATCAAATTGACCAAGCCCTCTCTCTCTATCCATCGGCCAATATCGTTGTTGTTGGTGACTTTAATGCCCATCACACCGATTGGCTTGGCTCTAGTGTCAGTGACTCTGCTGGCGTTAAGGCCCTCAACTTTTGCCTTTCTCAATCTCTAACTCAAATAGTCAACTTTCCAACTCGTTTTCCAGACAACCCTAATCATTTACCTTCTCTACTCGACTTATGTCTTGTTTTGGATCCTAGTCAGTGCTCAATTTCTCCACATTCACCCTTAGGTACTTCTGATCACGGTTTGATCTCTCTAAAACTATTACCAAATTCTTCTACTTCATCAGAATCCCCCTATCATCGTACCACATACAACTACCTTAAAGCTGACTGGGACTCTTTCCGTGATTTTCTTCGTGATGGCCCTTGGGTAGAAATCTTTCGTCTTCCTGCTGACAAATGTGCTTCTTACATAACTTCGTGGATTCAGGCTGGCATGGAATCTTTTATTCCCTCTCGACGATTCCAGGTCAAGCCTCACTCTTCTCCTTGGTTTTCCTCACATTGCGCTGCAGCAATTTCTAATCGAAACCGTTACTTCCATATCTATCAGCAAAACAATTCTCCAGAAAACAGACATCTGTTCACTATCGCCAGAAACCATTGTAAAAAGGTTTTGTCTGACGCCAAAGCTCGCTATTCCCAGGTCATTAAATCTCGTATCTCATCACAAAAATTAGGCTCTCGAGACTTCTGGAGAATCTTTAACAGTATCAATAATAAGGGCAAATCTGTTATTCCTTCTCTCTTGTATGGTTCAGACTTTGTCACCTCACCTAAAGACAAAGCTGAATTGTTTGCTAAGAACTTTTCATCAATATCATCTCTTGATTCCACTAGTTGCGTTTTACCTGACATAGCCGTCAAACAGGTTGATCCCTTGCTTGACATTCGCATTACTTCAGCTTCTGTATCTAAAGTAATTTCCTGCTTAGACTCTTCAACAGCTTGTGGTCCTGACAACATTCCTGTTGTAGTCTTGCAGAGGTGTTCTCCGGAGCTTTCATCCATACTTTCTAAACTATTTAACAAGTGCTTATCAGAGTCTTGTTTTCCATCATGCTGGAAAGCAGCATCTGTTATCCCTATTTTCAAAAATTCCGGAGAGCGATCTGATTCATCTAACTACCGTCCCATTAGTCTTCTTCCTGTCATAAGCAAGGTTTTTGAATCTTTAATCAACAAACACTTAATCTCTCATCTTGAATCAAATAACTTACTTTCTGATCATCAATATGGATTTCGGTCTTCTCGTTCTACAGCTGATGTGCTAACAGTAATAACCGATAGGTTTTACCATGCATTAGATAGAGGTGGAGAGGTTAAGGCTATCGCACTTGACATTTCTAAAGCTTTTGATAAAGTTTGGCATGCTGGTCTTCTCCATAAGCTTTCTTCTTATGGTGTAGCTGGTAACGTCTTTAAGATTATTGAGTCCTTTCTTTCCAATCGTAGTATAAAAGTTGTCCTCGATGGACAACACTCTTCTTCACATCCTGTAACTTCAGGGGTTCCTCAAGGTTCAATCCTTGGCCCTATACTTTTTTTAATTTACATTAACGATCTTCCAGATATTCTCACATCTAAGGTGGCATTATTCGCTGACGACACTACCATTTACTCTTGTCATGATAAGAAGCCTACACTCTCTGATTGCTTGGAGGGGGTATCTGAGCTTGAAAAGGATCTCACTTCTGCTACAGCATGGGGCTCACAGTGGCTGGTGAACTTTAATTCAGATAAAACTCAATTTTATTCGGCCAATCGTTATCGTAATAATTTAGATCTTCCTATATTTATGAATGGTAATGTACTAGATGAGTCATCTACCATTCATCTTCTAGGATTAACTCTTACTTCTGATCTTTCTTTTAAACCGTATATCAAATCCATTGCAAAATTAGCATCTGCTAAGGTTGCATCTCTTTATCGAGCTCGACACTTTCTTACTCCAGATTCTATTCTCTATCTCTATAAATCTCAAATCCGTCCCTGTATGGAATACTGTTGCCACATCTGGGGCGGATCTTCTAATGATGCTCTTTCTCTTTTAGACAAGGTGCAAAAACGAATTGTAAACATAGTTGGACCTGCTCTGGCAGCCAATCTCCAACCTTTGTCACATCGTCGTAATGTTGCTTCTCTTTCTCTTTTCTACAAATACTATAATGGGCACTGCTCTAAGGAGCTAGCGTCCCTTGTGCCATCTACTAAAATTCATTCTCGTGTTACTCGCCATTCAATTAAGTCTCATCCTTTTTCTGTGACTGTTCCTAAGTGCTTCAAAAACTCTTATTCTTCTAGTTTTTTTCCTCGAACATCAGTTCTTTGGAATTCGCTTCCTTCATCTTGCTTTCCTGATTCATATAATTTGCAATCTTTTAAGTCATCAGTCAATCGTTATCTTGCTCAACAGATTTAGTCTTTTCTCTTCCAGTAACTTCCAACTCTTATAGTGGTTGCTTGCAGCCTTGTTGGAAGTGAAGATGTTAAAAAAAAAAAAAAAAAAAAAAAAAAAAATATATATATATATATATATATATATATATATATATATATATATATATATATATATATATATATATATATATATATATGTATATATATATATATATATGTATATATATATATATATATATATATATATATATATATATATATATATATATATATATATATATTATATACAAACATTATATATATATATTTACAAACGTTAAGTGTTTTAATATATATTTACTTTAGAAAATTTTCTGTTGAGTTGGTCTGAGGGTATATAACAATCAAATTTCCATTGTCAGCAATGGCATAATGGTGAGGACCTTCAGCAACCTAAAATTCAGTAAAAAAACAACAAAAACTTAACCTATGAATAATTAAACAGAACAACAGAGAAATGAAAAAAATAACTAAAAATAAAAGATCCATTAATTTTAAATTAATTAAACAATTAACAGCCATCAATAAAACAAAAATCTCACAAGTTATTACAAATTGCAATAACAATCAACTATGTAAGTACACTTTAAAAACAATAAATATGCTGAATAAAAACTTTTCAAAAAACATTGAGTTCACTGTGGAGCAAAGAGATAGTCAAGTTTAATGTTGTGGAGAATATATTAACTCTTCAGAAAAACAAATTTTATGCTGGACCATTTAAAATAATAATATATAGTTTTGCTTGAAAAGTTCTGAACTTTTATCTATTATGAACAGTAATGAAAAAACTTATAATTGTTCATAATAGATAATCATTTATAACAGATAATCATAATTTTTGAATTAGAACACAAAATGAATCAAAAATAACTAAAAATATGTTGATTTTTTTTTGTTTATTCATAACGTGAGGAGAGTTTTGGTCTAGAATAAATAATATCAAACTAACAAATACAAAATTAACTTTAATAAAAAAACTTAAATACTTGCGTCCAGTTATAACCACCATTTTGGGATAGCCAAACATTTGAAACACCAGTAAGAGCATCACCAGCTTGGCCTTAAAAAAAAAAAAATATTTAAAACATAATTTGTGTCAAACTATTGAAAACACAGCAGCTTCATAATAAAGAAGTTTGCTTTGATTGAAAACCAAAATTTTAATAATAATTTGCTTTATTATTTGTGCTTGCAATGAAAATTAAGAAAAAACTAATCTAAAACTATATATAAAAATGAATAAAAAAAAAAATTAAATATAAAAATATAATCTTAAATACTAATAGTACTAGATTAAAGTTTTACAAACATTAACATCTATGAAATATATCTGTGAAAATATAAATGAATATCTGTGAAAATAAAAACCTTACCATGGGCTAATATTATGCCTGGAGCATTTTCAGTAAACAATGGAGGTTGAGCAGGTACACCTTTTTCGTCAATGCTATAGGAAATGTGCAAATGAAGATTACAGCTAACAGCTTCACTCTAAAAATAAAGAAAGAAACAAAAAATGAATTTAAAAATATCATTCTACTAAATTAACTTGACAATTTATGACATCAACATATTTTCAAGTGTAAAATATATAATGTTCAAGATAAATCTTCAAAATAACTTCATCAAATCCTAGAATGCACAAACATACATGAATATTAAAATTTAACGCAAAATAATGTTCCTATACCAGCTTATATGCACCACACAACTAAAATAGATAAAGTTTTATTATAAAAGAATACAAAACACTTGTAAAACTTTCTTGATCTTTCTTGATCTAAAGGAGACAGAGACTGCAACATTTATCCTAGAATAATTACTCATTAGGTTTACTCAAAAGATTTTGTCTAACGCCAAACCCGTTATTCTTAAGTCACAAAGTCTTGTATTTTGTCTAAAAAATTAGGCTCCCATTACTTGGAGAGTCTTTAACATTGTCTATAATAATGCAATTCTATTAATCCACCTCTCTTGCATGGTTCAGATTATCTTACCTCACCTAAAGACAAGAACCTTTTATCTAAGTTACCTAACTACCGCCCCATTACTTTTCTTACTATCATAAGCAAACTTTTTGAGTCTTTAATTAACAAACACATTATCTTGAATCTTGAATCTAGTAACTTTCTGATCATCAATATGGATTCTTCTCGTTATACTGCTAATTTGCTAACGGTAATAACCTATAGGTTTTATCATGCATTAAATAAATGTGGAGAGTTTAGGGCTATCACTCTCAACATTTCTAAAGTCTTCGATAAAGTTTGGCATGCTAGTCTTCTCCATAAGCTCTGGTCTTACAGTGTATTAGGTAACATTTTGTAGCCTTATACTTTTTTTTAACTTACATTAATTTTTAATTGATCTCCCAGAAATTCTCACATCTTAGGTGGCATTTTTTGGTGATGATACTACCATTTACTCTTGTCTTGATAAGAAGCGAACACTCTCTAATTTCTTGGAGGGGGCATTTGAGTTAAAGGATCTCACTTCGGATACAGCATGGGCCTCTCAGTGGTTGGTAAACTCAAATTAAACTCAATTTTTTTCAGCTAATCATTATCGCAATAGTCTAGATCTTTTATTTATCAACAGTGCTTGATGAGTCATCTACTCTTTGTCTTCTAGGATTAACTCTTACTTCCGATCTTTCTTGGAAACCATATACCAAATTGAGCTTCATCCTTTTCCTGTGACTGTTCTTGTTGTGAATTTTTTTTTTTCCTCAAACATCACTTCTGAAATTAGAGTTCGCTCCCTCTATCTTGTTTTCCTGATTCATACAATTTGCAATCTTTAAAATCACTTGTTAATCATTATCTTGCTTTGTAAACTTCATCTTTTCTCTTCTAGTAACTTACAATTCTAATAGTGGTACCCAATGAATATTTTGTAAATTTAAGAACACCCAGAATAATGAATATTTTATGTTTAAATATAATTTTTATATTTTTTACAGCATGGTAAAAAAAAAAATCATTTTGAATGTGTATTTAGCACTTATTGATATTGATATATGGTGAGTTTCATAATTTTTCTTGAAGTTTTACCAAGCATTTTTATGTTGTTTTTTTTTTGTCGTAATGATCGTAACCCTGACGGTCATAAGGAAAATTCCAATATTAAAAATAACAAATAAAACATGGCAATTAATGATATAAGGAAAAAAGTATAAATAATTATTAAGAACCATGTAAGAAATGCTAAAAAAATCCACTATAACATTATCAAAGTTCTTAACTAAGAATATACGATACAATTTTAAACGCTAATTAACAGGACTGTAAATAAGCGTCATAACACATTTATACAACCGTTACTATGGTATAGTATAATAAAATGATTTAATTTTTATCATACTATACCATAGTAAGGGTAATCAAATTTTTAATAACTTTTTTGCTTTAAAGTATTTTTAAATAGTTATAAAAAAGAGTTATGTAGTTTTTTGTTTTCATGACTTTTTTTTTCCCCCTCTTTCTTGCGTAATCGCCCATAAGTAAATGAGTAAGAGAGCAGGGGAAAGCTCTCTTAAAACAAACATAGCGAGCCATGCGAGCTGCTTCTCTAAACAGCTTCTTACAAGAGCTTTTTTTTTTTGTATGAGCTTTTTGTTTATTCATTTTTAAAATTGCTTATAAAATACAAAATTTGGTTTTATACTTGTTAGAAGCATATATTTGTAACGTTAATATTACAAGAATATATACATAACAAGTGTCATTTATTGCACCATGAGAAAACTCTTTAGGGTTGTCTTAAGGTTTTCACACTAACTATTCATTTATTTATTAAAAACATTACTTATTTGATAAAAAAAATTTGACAAAGAACTATAAAAGTTTTTACTGCTTATAAAAAATGTTTTATATTTTCTTATTGTAATAGAATGCAAGCATTTTAAAAATTATTACAATTAAAAATTCTACAATAAAAGTGAATATTATATTAAAATAATATATAAAATATATAATTCATTACATAAAATAAAAACTATTATGCAATAATTTAGAGTGTAAAGTTTTAATATTTATCAGTTAGTCCAATCTAATCAAAAACATTTAAACTGGTGCTCTTTTATAATTTTTTATTTTTAACAAAAATGACTTTGTATTTTTCATTTTAGTTACAATGATGATTAAAATGATAACTATACTTTTGAGAGAAAAAATTATATTTTTGCAGGAACCTTAAATTGCTCTTCAAACCCATTTTAGGGGTATGCTTTTTACATTTAATTAAAAAGCAGCAACTTTATTCATTAAATAGTATTCATTAAATTTAATGGGAGAAAAATTTTATATGATAGTAAAAAAAATTATTACCTTACAATACTTTTTGCTATCTACATATAATGGATTCCAAACAACACCTCTATCAAATGTTATAACTGTTATTATTGTATTATCTAAAAAATACAAAGAGTATAAACAAATAAAAAAATTAGATAAACTATTATCATCATTATTGTCATTACTACTACCATAATATTATTCTTATTAATAAGCAAAATTCTAATTTTTATTGGTGCTAACAATTAATTGCTAAAGTGATTGGATTTAAAGTATGTCTTCCCCTACTGTGAAGAAACCCCTACCAAAGTTTTTGAAAAAATAAGTTAATTTTTTTTTAATATATTTTATAAGCATATCAAATGATTATTCCCAAGAAAATTCCCAACTGTACTTGGTAATTTAGATTAACCTAAATGATTTTTTAGAGAAAAAAATAAAAAAAATAAAATATCCGAAAAAATCTTTTTTATAAGTATTTTTTAAATTACTAGTCATTATTTTTCAGAGCCTTCAAACATTCGATCCCACTGAAAATTGATGCGTCTCTCATGAAGCAAATTTAATAATAATCTAATTAGCAGAAAAATCTAGTAACTGTAACGGAAGCATTCTACAAAATTATCAATAATGGCTTTTGATGTTATACCATACATGATACCATACCCCATCACTCTCTCTTTTGCATGACGTTCTCTGCAGACGAAACCGAAAAAAAGTGCAAAAGTGTGTTCATGTTTATTTCAAAAAAATTTAAACAATTTCCTCATTTTGGAAAGGATGTAAACTTTATTCATCCATTCAAACTTAATCATAAATGATGAACTCTAAATGATAAGCGTTAAAAAATCTGTCGCAAAACTTTCACAAATATGAACATGGAAATTGATTTTGTTGCCTCACATTTGAGGAACAGGTGGCTAATATTTTAGTATATTTTTGATTTTCTAATATACTTAAAACCCACAAATGCGCTATACCTCAGGTTTAGTGTCATCACGACACATTCGTTTAGCCGTAAAAAAAATCATAAATGGCAATTATTCTTCAGTTTTTGCAAGCGTATAATAAACTTGTTAGCCCTCAACCTTATTGGCTGACTGAGATTTTTCCAGGGCTATTTAAGCAAGTGGATTGTTTTATGTACCACAGCCAAAAACTGAATTTAAAAAAAACAGCCCCTTGAAATTTTCGGGTCTCCTAAAAGTGCGGGACCCAGTGCTATAACCACTCTAGCCACATCTTAATCCAGCAATATTATTAAAGACTCCTAATAACGTTTTCTACTATATCAAGTCCTATTGACATTTTCTACTATATTGCATCATTTATTTTCTCTACGTTATGCCTTTCCACCCATTCTGCATCTTCCAGGGTATATGCGCTGTATTGCCGCTTGCAAATTTTGACGGAGACCAAAATCGTAAGCCTCATCTTCATCTTCAAAACAATTTCTTTATCAAATCATCTTCACTCAAGAAAGTTTGTAATACGGCTTACCTCTAAGAATAGTTTTAATAGCTAAAACCATAACCGGATTAAGATTATTTGTTGTCCAAGGTTATTTTTTAAAGTAGTTTCTTTTTTTTTGAGTGCTACAACATCTAAAGTGATTTAAGAATTTAAAAAAACAATCCTCTTGAATATTTTATGGCCCTCGCCTAAAATTACCTACCACCACATAGTCTAGTACTGCCCAATATAGTCATGGACCAGGAGTAAGAGTGGTTTTAATCAACAGCATTTTGATGCCTATAAACCAAATACTAATACATCAAAATTTACAAGGGAAAAAAAAGCCAAAACCGCTCACAAAAAATGTTGCTAAAAACTAAATGTTAGTTACTTTGATGCAAGTTGTATATTTTGCATTTTACTCAGTTGCACAATATCCTAATTTATTTTAGAATATAAGTAAATTTACTTTCTTATAAAATATAAATTATTTTTAGTTTACTTTAAAAACTATATATAATTTAAGCTTAATTAATAGAATTTTTTCTTTATATAATTTATTTTTTACAACAATTTTTTTTACTTATATAATAAAAAATGACAATTTATATAATATTTAAAATAAATTTTATATTTGGTCGCCTATTACTTTTATGTAATTCTTTTTCATATAAAAGTTTTTTTTACAATTACGATAACAAAATATTTGTCTAAAGCTAAAACATTATTGTCTAAAGCTGTTATAAAACAATGCTTTAATAGCCAAATAATCAATAACACTTTCGTAAAAGGATGCAAAAAATCAAAATGTTAATAAACATGGATATAGCTGTGCATGAGAAATTGCTGATGACAGTATACTTTTTTAACTGCATTTAAAATTGAAATTAAGTTAAAAAAAAGAATTTATAAAATATGAAATTAAGTATAAAGAATCAAGTACCATATTTTTCTAAAAACTAATAATATACCTGGTGCAAGTTTTTGTGTTATATAAACACCTTCCATAGAAGTAACACGTATAAAATCAGTTACACCATTGTTAGTATACTAAATAAGTAGTTTTATTATTTACAGTTAGTATACTATAATACAGTTAACATTTTAGTTACAGTTAGCAACTAAACTATAATAGAATTAGTATTAATAGTTGATGTTAAAAATTATTATTATAATTTTAACTTTAAGTTTCAAATTATCATGAATTAATTGTTAAATAAATAAATATATACACAAAATAATAAATAAATAAAAATATTCTAACAAAGTGGTTTTCCAATGAGGTAGTATATTCTATTCCATCTGCATCTGATATATACAATGTTCCGAAGCCAGTATCTAAAGAGAATGTTTAAAAAAAACTTTAGTTTTAAACTAAAATAGACACAACTAAAAAACTGCAAATAACTGAAGACTTACTTCCCTCGCTATCAACATGCAAAAATACCATTCCATTATTCATATCAAGCACAGCATAAAACTGAAATTTTTATATATAAATATTAAATCAGATTACTAAAATAATATAACAAAATGTTTCAACTACAATCATAAATTTAAATATATAAATTTTTTGTAAAGGTTATTATAAAGAGATTTTTTAAATAGATTTTGGAACTGGTGCAAAGATTAGTAAACACTTTAAATTGTTTACAAAGTCTGATTTAATATTTGAGGCCAGTAAAAATGCATGACATAAATCTAGGTACCATTTTTATAAAAACTGAGATAATAATAATAATAAAAAGACTGATTCAATACTAAAAAATGTGAATTTTTAAATGAAAAAATGAAATAAATCGAAAAAAAAATATTTTTTTTATAATTATTGCAAAACATAAAAATTTACCATATCAGCAGTTATTTTTGGAACATTAGCAAGATGGAATGTTTTTCCACCATCTTTTGATACATGCAAAAGCCTTGCGTCTTTTTCAGTTTCAGAAACCTTTGGCTAAATTAAAATTGTTTAGTTTAAATTAAAAAATTCAATATATAAAAATATCCGAAAAATATTTTTTTGAAACTTTCGGAAATATAAATGCATTTTGTGTAACTAAGAATATATAATGTGTCAAATAAACCTCAGAAAGTCTCAAAAAAAAATTTATTATTTTTACGTGCGTACAAAAAATGTTTAAATATTTTAATTCTTTATAAAAGTAGATCAGTGGCGTAGTGTCGTTTATGTTACAGTAATTGAATCTATTATTTTTTTTATTATTATTAAATTAAATTATTAATTAAATTAAACTATTAATTAAATTATTAATTAAATTAAACTATTATTTTAAGTTTAATTTCAAAGTTTAACGTTTATAACTATTATTGTTGTTTATCTTTTTTTCTTTTTTAAAGTTTCATAGAAAAAGTGCATCAACGCATACATAAATCAACTGTTTTAGCCATAGTCACAGTGGAGCGTACATTTATCGACTGAGCTAAATAGGGATAGATGCAGTGGAGTATATACGAGTTTATGTTTTAACAGGCCTTATTTTATATAAAAAAAAGTTATTTCAAAACATATCCAACCAAGCTAATTTATATTAAAAAATTATTAAATTAAATTGCCCTAGATTTTATGGTGAATAAATCAAATAATTTGTAATATATATACGCATACAAATTAGGGTTGTTCGCCGAAAAACAAAACTTGCGAAAATTTCGCATCTTTATCTACCGTAATAGAATTGTTATTACGGAAGTTGCACATGCGAAAATGCACATTCCGTAACGCGCTATACAAAAATATAAATAAATAAAATTCCGTAATAAAGCATTGCGAAAGAAAACTTGCGAAACAAATCATTTCGTAAGAATACTTACGAAATAGTTCCTTACGGAAAAAGCATTCCGGAATGTGTAGTTACGAAAAAGACGCAAAAGATTTTATGTTACGATATATTTAAGATATTAACCGTTAACAGTTTAAATAATAAATAATAAAATTATAAAAAAATGTTGTCAAATGATTCTTCAAATGTTTATACAAATATACCTAATATATATATATATATATATATATATATATATATATAATATATATATATATATATATATATATATATATATATATATATATATATATATATATATATATATATATATATATATATATATACTTATATATACAGTAAAATCCCGTTAAGTTGGACTCTCAATGAATAGATAAACAGTATGCCTTTCTTTTTAAAAAGTATAAAGAGGATGTGTGATAAACAATTAAATACTTTATTATAAAGAACGAGAGATCTCTCTAAAGGTAAATGATATCAGAAAGAGTAAAAAGAGAAGAAATATATGTGAAACAGCGGGATGTGAACCTGGGTCTACGCGGCCAAATGTCTTAACTGAATGAGCTATACGTTCATTCAACTAAGAGAATAGTAATATTTATTTAATATATAATTTGAAACTATATAAAACAGAATTTACAGAAAGAGATACGTATGCAAATAGGATTCTATATATCAGGAAAATGAATAGTAATGTGAACCTTTAGATGCTTATAATTAATATCTGGACTCAAAAACTAGTTACTTTTAATGGAACACAATAGGCTGTAGGAACCTCAGGGAAATTATATTCAGAAATGGTTATATTAGACTTAGAGTTAGCTAGAAATTATTACAAAGTATTTAGGACAGATGTCTAGTACAAAAAGCAAAAGATTTAAAGCAAAATGAATTATATTTTTTGAAAAAATTGTTTTACGTACATTTCATCATAATTTAAGTAGAACTTAGTAAAGCAAGGGAAACGTGTTAAATTATGCACAATGAACTCAATCTTAAAAGAATAACTAACAGAAGAGAGGTTGTCACTATTGTGAAGGCGACGAAAGATCTGTAATATAGAACATGGGGGTCAAAAAATGCTATCTTAAGTAAAAAGAGTTTGATGAACAAAAGTTACAATGGCTGCGGGATGCGAACCCGGATCTCTGCGGCGAATTATCACGTATCTAACTGATTGAACTATACAATCTTATACTCAAATTTATATCTTATTAAAATTAAAAAACAATATTTTCTATGATCTATATTTTGAAAAGCGTATTCAAAAAGGACTCTACATACCTTTAAAATCTGCTAGAATTTTAGTAACGTGCACACTTTTAGAAATTATTGAAATAGGTATATTTTATCAGAAATATGCTTAAGCTAAAGCATATTTTTGAGCCTCTTTTTACTATATGCTTAAGCATATTCGAACCTGTTTCAAAAATTTCATATGCTTTAAAAAAAAAACATGTATATTCCTACCCATCATTCTTATTTTTAATATACGTAATGAGTTCAAAAAACATCGTTGTATATATTTATTATGGCACGTTTCGTAAGTTTATTTCCGTTAAGAATTCTTTCGTATGTTGTGATCCGAAATACTTTCGTTTCGAAAGAAATTTTATTTTTTATCAATATTTCTAAAAATAAAACCGTAAAAATTTAATAAGTTATTTTACTGAAAATAAAAATTCATTATAAACATTTTGGGATTTAAAGATGTTAATTTTTACAATTAAAATCAGTCTGGCAAACAAATTTTCTTTAAAGACTTCAAAACGTCGTTTGGCAAAAATGTTTGTTTCGCAAGTGCGACTTCCGAAACCGCTACTTTCGTATGTTGCAAAATAGTTTTGTTTCGTATGTCAACTTGCGAAATGCTAAATTTCGGAAGTGGCTTTTGCAAAATGAACATCGGCGATTTTAAATGTTTCGTAACATTCAGTACGAAAAAATGTAATTCCGTGTTCTCAATCTCCTTACGAAAGAATGTTGTTTTTCCGGAATTGCACGAAATCCTTTAAAAACGGTTAACAACCCTAATACAAATAAGAAAATTTAAATGGAAAATTTTTAACAAATATTTCAAGAAAACTATTTGGATATTCAGAAAAAATTAAATTTTTAAGAAATATCTAGAATTCCACAAATATCCGAAAAAAAGATAATCCCTGTAAATAGTAACCAGTTACTTTAAGATACTACATATTCTTAAATTCAAAATATTTCAAATAAAATTCAACATATTTCAAATAATATTCAACATATTTCAAATAAAATCACATAAGTTTAAATCACATAATTTTTTAAAGCAAAATCTAATAAATGATAAGTTATTGTTTTAGAAATAATTTTAAAGTATTTATATTAAGTGCAAGATGAAAATAAGAAAACGTTTTTTTTTTAATTCTTATTGATATAAATAATTTTTCAAAGTTCTTTTTAATATAATAATAGAATTTATAAATATCAATGAAAGTTTTATTAAAATTTAATAATTACAAGAAATAAATTTAACAAGCACATGAAATAAATTTATGAAATTTATTGTTATAAAAAAACTAACATCTCTAAATTATCACTAAACTAATTTTTCATTCTTCCTGTTGTTATCCATTTTATATATTTTAAACTTAAAATAGTTATATTTAATATAAATATTTTAAGTTTAAAATATATAAAATGGACAATAACAGGAAAAATGATAAACTAATTTTTTGTGCCAATCTGGCATAATTGACATATAGTCAACTTAGTTTACTGCGAAATAGAAAATTTTTACAATAATCTGTTTGTTTATTACACATTTTTGTAATAGTCTTGTTATTAATATAATTATATATATATATATGTATATATATATATATATATATATATATATATATATATATATATATATATATATATATATATATATAAATATATATATATATATATACATATATATATGTGTGTGTGTGTGTATATATATATATATATATATATATATATATATATATATATATATATATATATATATATATATATATTCAGTGTGGAAAATAATGGCCAGTCAAGGGTCAATGACCACCTGAAATGACTAAAAATGCTATTTTGACCTCCCAAAATGAATTCTTGCCATGTTGCCATTCATTCCATTCATGGTTGACCGGTTAAAAAAAAAAAAATTAGAGATTTAAAACAAGGTTTGACAAAAAATCAACATTTTTTGGAAAATGCATTTAATAAAATTTTGATAAACTATTTGAATTTTAAATAAAAGTTTTAAATAGTTTTCTTGTTTATGAAAAGCTACTTAATTGCTAGTAGGTCTAAATTATTAAAACTTATTATTAATTTATATCAATATAATTCAATAATTAAAAGTCAATAATTTATTAATAATTTAATATTATTAATTCCGCAACTTATAATATATTCAAGTATTTATAAAATTTATTGTTGTTAAAACTTTTAACTAATAATTATTGCATATTAATAGAAACCGTAATTTTTCTGCTTTAACAATCCTGAACTCATTAATTCTCTTTGTGTATGCATGTATCTTTGTGAATGTATTGGTCAAGACGTAATGTATACGTAACAAGTAAAACGTATTTTTACTAAGTGTTTCTTAGTAAAAATCATTATTTCTTAAATGATTCAAGTTCTTTTTTTATCACTATTTTAATACAAAAAATTTATGTATTATTTTGTTAATAATATAATAATATAAAATAAATTATGTTTTTAACTATGAACAGTTTTTCTTTTATCTGCACTTTATTTGTTTTATTTTTCTCAAAGTCTTATTATTTATTTTCTTGTAAGTTTTGCAGCAAATTGCAAATAAATGAATGGTTTATAGATAAATTAAAAATTACTGATTGAACGCTTGCACTTTTTTTTTTTTTGTAACAGGATTATATATATATATATATATATATATATATATATATATATATATATATATATATATATATATATATATATATATATATATATATATATATATATATGTATGTATGTATGTATGTATGTATGTATGTATGTATGTATGTATGTATGTATGTATGTATGTATGTATGTATGTATGTATGTATGTATGTATGTATGTATGTATGTATGTATGTATGTATGTATATATATATATATATATATATATATATATATATATATATATGTA